TGGCTACGGGAGAAGAAGAATAGAGGCTCTCATTAAGAAAGATAATAATCTTACAAAGAGGCAAAAGCAAAACCACCAAAAACAAAAAATGGTCCTCGATTATATAGCCTTCCTTAAACCGATTATCAAGAGCGTTTCCAAAAGTAAGAACTTGCAGATAGTTTATCGATGTAATCCCACTATATACAGAATGTTAAGGAATGACAAGGGGGGTTATGAATGCAACTCCTTAACAGGAATATACTCGATACCGCTAAGAGACCGCAGGTTCAACTCTAACTTAGTATATATAGGCGCAACTTTGAGGAATTTGAAAAAAAGAATCAATGAGCATAAGCTTTCAGTGAACAAAACAATTGACAGCACGGTCCTTGCCACTTATGCTAAACAACAAGGCATTACTGTTTTCTGGGACCAGGCCTCTATAATAAAAGCCACCACATCTAGACACACAGTAATATATCTCGAAAAGCTGGAAATCCACAGGGCACAGAAGAGCGCGCAGTGTATCAACTATAGGGATGCCGATGGGTTTTCGTCCGCTTGGAAATCTTTTTGCGACGATTTGGCATAGATCTATATAAAAGGCTCAATCAGGCTTATGATGATCGTTGATGGATATTTTATTTATTTATTTATTTGTTATTATTATTATTATTATTGTTTATTAAGCACACGAAAATTTGTATATAGCACTTTCGTTTGTAACATGTTACCTTTTAATTTTTTACATAAACGTTATTTGGAATTTCCATTGTGTAATTTTTCGAATTTCACATTTCGAATTAGAGAAATAACTGACGATGAACGCTTAATGCGTTTGAAAACGTTTTTAAATTATTAAAGAATTTTGCTGGATAGTTGAATGGTTTTTATTTTTATTGATTTTATTCTCCAGTAAGCAAGTATACTATTAGTTATTTAGCATTGCCAGTTGAGACATTCATTACACAAAATTAAACACATTGTGTGTGGGATATCACATTAAAATCTGAAATTGTTATTATAAGTAATAGTAACACAGACTATCAGAACTAATCAGTAACCAGCATTGCCAGGTTTGACATTTTTAAAGGTTTTTTTTAGCATATAGAAAAATTTGGAATGCCAGACCCTATTTTGAATTACATTTGGCCTAAATTAAATTCCCCATTAATATATTGTCAGCAATAATAACAGTTAGAAGTAGATTACAATTTTCCCCAAACTGCTATTGAAATGCTTTTACATGCTTAGCTTATTTAATGTCTTTATGTATATTTTGATATATCTCATTGAAAACTTTTTAATCCACCAGTTGATTATGCCAAACAAGAAATCAATAAAGTAATTGCTGTTGAGTTTTAAATAAAAGTTAAGTTTTTACAATATGTCTGTTCAATATACTGTTTTGTGTCATTGATTTGTAATGTAATAATTCAACTTACAACATTTCAGGGTAAAAAATGGCAACAAAAATAAAATTTGCATCATTTGGTACATTTATGCAATCTGTTTGACACGTTTGAATGAAAACAACCTAGCCACCATGCAAGTAACTATGCAACTAGCACTATTGAATTGTTAGTTGAGATTATATCCAACTATACTTTTGAAAATAATCAGAATCAAGACTTTTTAGTGGAATTGGCATTCGTATCAGAATTGTCAGAAATTTTAGTATCATTCCATCACTGATATGAAGTAATTTTTTCAGTTTTATAGTGTTTTACAATTTAGTAGATATTAAAATAGATGGAGACATTTTGAAAATTTTTCAGTTCACTTTCAAACATTTATTTTTGACTCATTCAGATACTATCTTAGCTCAGGGCTGGCCCATTCATATAGGTGAACTAGGTGATGGCCTAGGGTGCTTGAATTCAGGGGGCGGCATGGTGAAAGTACGTGCATAAATTACAATAAATAATGAAAAAATAAATTTTTTTTTATCACAATCCTTTCTCACGCGTTGATCCATGAGTCGCCATTTTGAAAGTAGCGCTGTAGTCTCACGATCGCGATATTGCATGCTGCATATTGAATAAAAATTAGATACTCTTGGGGCGACGTCAAATCCATTTGCCTAGTGCACTGAGTTTGCTCGGGCCGGCAGTGTCTTAGCTCATATATTTACTAATTCCATATGATGTGTAAAAGACAAAGTGAAGGTATTGTTGATCTTGTAGTTTTAATTATCATAATTAATGTCATATATTTTTTATTAACAGTCATTTTATAGTTTAGTTATACATGTATTTAGTTATAAATTTCATTTAAAAAAAATTTTATATTTTCATTGAATATTTTGTATTTTATTGCATGTATATTACCTTTCATGATTGTTGTATTTTAGTGGGTTTTGTTATAAGGGGTTGGCCATTATTGTCAAAAGACATCGCCTGTAATTTTGTTGTATAAAGAATAAATATTAATTGTATTGAGGATATTTGAAATTGATGATAAACGATGTTTATTAATCTGATTATTGGTTATAATATCATCACTAATTATTTTTGTCTGTATCTGTTTCTTTTCTATCAATTTTTAATATATTCTAGATGAAAATTATTTTGTTATTGTCAATTATTCATATTAATTTAGTTATCATGTTTATCTCTTCTCTGATATTATTTCTTATTCATAAGAGAACAAGTGATTCTCATATTGCTGTGCTTTGTCATATCTACCTGATCAATATCTATACATCAATAGTTCTTACATATAAAAACAAATAAATTTTTAGAATTGATACAGTACAGTATAGTAATATCGTAAATGCCCATTTATGATATTACTGTACTGTATGATATGCAAATTTAATTCATGGAGTGTAAGAATAGAATAATAATAATATGATTATCATTTTATTTTAAAATTTTCATAAAAATTTTCTTCTGTTAGAAATAGGAAGAACTGTGTTAATTGAGTTTCTTATTATTCAAATAAATTTTGAAAAAATATTTAAACAGAAAGTAAAGTGCATATGCTTTGAATATGTATTTATTAAACAAGGTAATAAATTTTTTAGTAATTTACTTCTATTGAATCTAATTGTCACGATGATTTAACTGTAATAAATCATTAAGAAGTACCTGTATTCATTTGTGGTAGAGTGCTTTCTTTATGAGCATTTATATATTCATAAAGAATGCATTATCTTTATTCAATTATCTTTTAAATTTAAAAATTTTTATTTTCTATCTTTTACTTTGTTCTGCTCTAGTTTAGGTTTAAGTAGTATTAAATATCGCTCTCTTTTTCCCTCTATGGCAATTTGCCAAAATGATCAAACAAATTAATTTAGAAGAAAATAATTGAAAAAAATTAAGAAATAAATGATAAATTATGATTTTGTAATCTGTTATTAATGAAAAATAAAATGCTTTTTTTCATAGCTTAATCTTTTCGATGTTTAAATTATCATAACTTATATAATATTTTTTTCCGAATTAATATTAAAACATAAACTAAACTCAGTTATACTTTTTTATAGTCTGTTGCACATAAAGAAGCCTTGTTTTAAATATAGGAATTTAAAGTTTGTTAACTTTGAACTATTTTTATTTATACTTTTCTATTTTTATTATTCAGCACTAAAACTTTGTAAGCTAATTCAAACTCCTGAAATTGAAGTTTTAAGAATTGATGGGTCTTCTAATAAAAAATATAACGTACTTTTCTAATCAATTTTTTCTTATCAAATATTTTTATGATGTTTCAAATCTTGATGCATTTTATTAATAATGAAAGTTTTATTGCTTAGCAACTTGCGATACATTTGTTCAGACCGATGCATTTAAACCACAGTGTGATAATTCAGTCCAAAATTTCTTGCAGAACAAGATGGCATTTATGTGTTTCTTATAAGAGTGCATCATAGATGGCATTTATGAAGCAGTAGTGGATCATAAAAATAGGTATGAATGTAAATAACTTAGTTAATTAAATATGTGATATATGTTATATTACAGATAACTGGTTTTTAAATAATTAACTTATCAGTGTTTTAGTAGTTTATATCTTAAAAATGATTATATATTTGTTATGTACGTAATAGTTTTATTATAGTTTTTAATGGTATTCCAATGTAATAGTGTGTGTTTTTCATAATGAATAAAAAACTGGTATAATAAGATTTAATTTAAGGAAGGTTAATGAATTTTCTAATAAACTTACTATAAACTGAGAAAAAATATGATATTTGGAGAGGGAAATATATTATAAAAACACATTGAGTTTAAGATATGTTTTTACTAACTTGTAAATGTTAGCAGGCTATCCTTTTAATCACTTACCACTAACTGTTATATAGAAATGAAATAAAAATAATCAGAGACAGTGATAAATATTTGTTGACAGGTAGTCTCAGCTACAACGTGAAAGGTAACAAAAAATAAGATTGATAACTTTTTTAATATTATGTATCATCATTTAATGTAATAAAAATCTGGATAGACTGGATATGACATCTAGATAGATTTATTGAATGTTTTTCTTTTTTTTAATGATATAAAATATTAATTGTCATTTTTAGGAATAAAATTTTATAGAAAATAGGGAATGCAATCTAATTAAATCTATACTTAATTTTTTATTCATAATTTATAAATCTTTTGGAAAAAGATGTAATTAATAATCTTAAATTCATAAAAGTAAAATTATGAATATTGTGAACTAAACGAATTACACAGGAGCATAATTTAATCCTAAAATATTTTTAGTTTTAAATTATAAAAATCAATACAATAGCTTCTTGTTATATCGTGCTTGAAGGAGACATACCGAGTATACGAGCAATATATCAGATAGTGTGATGTAACTGATATATCCATTATTAACCGAAGAGTTTTTATATTTGGGAGACCAAAAAAAAAAAAAAATGCAGTATATCTGAATGTGCAGACTACTATGTTTTGTAAGTCTTTCTATCTTTGCTTAATCTGAAACAGTATTAATTTCTATTTTTTTATCACTATTATAGAATATTTCACAGATTCAGCTGTATTCACAGAGCATTGCTTAGAATTTAAAATTTAAATAACTTTCTTTTGAAAAATCCTTTTACTTTGATTTAATTTCTACAAACTAAAATAATTTGGCAAAAAGTGTTCATTAAATATTCTAAGATTAATTAGGCTACTTTATTATTCATTTTGCTTACAACATTGTTTTTATGAATTTAACTTTATTGATAACAAGCTGTGCCCGCGGTTTCACCCGCGTGGAATTCAGTTTGTGACTATAACAGTATCAATTAGATATCTTTTATGAATGTTTTAGGAATGCATACGGGATAAAAGATATTCATTATTTTAAGCGACAACAAATAGGCAAATGTTCAGCACACGTTCGGACACGTGCACTGCGTATCTCACCGACCACGTGACTGTGCCGTGTGGTTACCTATCTTGTATACATATGCGTCTTGCCCCTCACCACCTGCTGACACCAAAAATATAATGCTTACCTAGATGATATCTTTTAATTTATATTAATGTTTAATGGAATAATATACGGCCTATGTCCACGCTGAAGGTCCACTCTAAATATTGGTGAAAGAATTTTTGAAATCGGATGAGTAGTTTCGGAGATTACCTCCTACATCCAAACTTACAAACTTTACCTTTTTATAATATTAGTATAGATTACATAGAATTTATATGACATGTACTCTTTACATCAGTCTATGATGCTGGAAAGAATATTTTTGAAGATTATAAAATATATAATATATTAATTTTTATATTATTACTTCTGAGCTTATTACAGATGTGTAAATAGTTTACAAGTCAAACAACATAAAATAATAATTTATGATTCTGTAAAAATAATAATTTATGATTCTGTAGAAATAACAATGAATTAACAAAAGAAAGCATTAAGTCTAAACTAAAAATAGCATCTATATAAAATTCATGACATTGACTAAGCAAATTTGACATTTTTATATATTTGCAGAAGTTTTAGTCGAATATTTTACATAAATAATAGAAAAAATGAACAATTTAACCATATAAGGAATTCTTTTATATTGTTTTGTATCTAGAACTGGCCTAATAACAAATAGAAAATGTTTGCATTAAGCCAAACTGTTAACTGTTGTTAAAGATGCATTACTACTTTATTCGCTTTAGTCCATAAAGAACACAAGAATAACATAACTGACTTTTCCTTGTAGTTGAATTGGTTGTTAAAAAAATGATAAAATATCTGTTTAAAAAGAAATGAAAAAATATCATTTTAAGAAAAGGAGACAAAACACCATTATCTTAAGGCTGATTCATACAGGTAGAAATATTAAAGTGACGGTAAGCATCAATCTAAGATTCATTCTTACATTGCATGAATGTATACTGTTTCTGTCTCTAATTGTTTTTAAATTAAAAGTTATATTAATTATTGTCATATTGTTAGATATAATTTTTAAAATAAGTTATTGTTAAACAATAGTATAATAAACTATTTTTAATTGTGTAGTGTGTGTGCAACAAATGAAGTGAAACTACAAATTATGCAAATCTTAAAAACTAAAGCTAATTCAAGGTTGTGTGCACAAGAGGTTTGGTGGTTTATTATATTTGACTTTATATTTTAAACATTTTTATTTCTTTCTTTATTAAATATTGTATGGACTTGAATTGGTCTACAATGCAATTTTTAGTTCACTGTTAATTTTTCAATAGTTTTCAATTAAAATAAATGTAGCACATTTAAAATAATAATATAAAAGTTTGAAATTCAATAGTTTTATCATTATAAAGATCTACAAGTACACACTAAATATTTATAAAGAATATATATACAGTAGAGCATTGATTATTCAAATGTTGATCAACCGAAATGTCAATTAACCAAAAGCTTTCCAGTCATCATATTTAAATTTCCACTAGTGCTGTGGTGCTGCAATCTTTGGCTATGTCTTGGGCTACTCCAATATTATTTTTGTTGATGTGCATGTTTTAGCTGGCAGCACTGGCGCGACCACGAGAGGGTACTTAAGGATGTGCCAGGATTTGAACGAATTTCAACATGTGATAGATTAATATATTTTTTTGTACATAATCGGTTATTCGAAAAATCAATTTTCCGAACAACCCCAAGTCCCCAATTGATTCAGATAATCGATGCTCTACCTGTATACATATATGCATTTGTGTCTGGATTGAATCCTCAAATTTTCTTGAGTGATCTGAATCCAGTATATCAGATGCTGTCTCACTATCTGATCATCCTATTGTGGGCATAAGATGAAAGCCCATTTAGTGCCCACAGAAGTAAAAAAATGTGATATTATACCTATTAGCTAAAGAATTAACTAAAACTTTAAAAAATTTATAATACAAAGTATAATATTTCAGAGATCTAATAAATGTATTAAATATATACAGGGTGTTAAAGAATTAGATTGACAAAATTAATTGGGTGGTAAAAGGTACAAGAATTCTGGTCATATGAATGGGGACTATAGCTTCCTTACAAGACAGATGCCTGAAGTTTTTTGTTGCCCAGCATAGCATGTATGTAGTGTAGGAAAGCCCATTGTCATTATCACACACCTTATTTTGTGGTGTAGCAGTTTAAAAATGTAAACATGTGCAGCTCAGAAAAGTAAAAACTGGAATCACAACAAAAAATGTCAGTTATTTTTTTTTACTGATAACACACTTAATTGCATGATAAATTTTAAGTGCAATTAACAATAAACAGGTTGTAGTCAGGTAAAATATTTTAGCTACATGAACAGTTACTACATCTCTCTTACCATCAGACTGTACAAGACTTTTAAGCCCTGCAGATTATCCAGCACAGTGTGTTTTAACAATGATAGTTAGAACTGTGTGAATTAACAGCATTCCATGCATAACTTTAACAAATGTTAATAGTAATGTCAGGCTTCTCTGTATGATATTTTTTCATCACAGGGCAGCAAAAGTTTAAGAGCCTGTATCTTGTATTGGGACTTCAGCAACTCCCAGTTTAGAGAACTAAAATTACTTATATTGATCCCCTCTATCATCCATTTCATTTTGTCAATCTAATTTTTTAGCACCTTGTGTATTATTAGACAAATAAAAAGAGCATATCATTACATAACATGTCAGCCAATCTTTGTCATTATTAATTCATCAGCATTCTTGTATCATAGGTGTGTGTTTTAGAAGTATTATTACAGGAAGTTTAGGATAAGTTTTTTTTAAAACAAAAGCAACTAGATAATTGTTTTTAGTAAAATAGAGGACACAATAAAAAAAACCTATTTATTTTTTATTGTGTGTTTACTAATCAATTTTTATTTTGAAATATTATTAATCTTGAAACACATAAAGTACTGAAACTAATCAATAAATCAATATTATTAAATTGATATAGTTCGTTGGAAAATTGTCTGATGTTTCCATAATTTTTTTATCATTTAAGGTATGTAATTATCAGTAGTTAAGAATAGTGAAATTAAATTGTATATTATTATAAACTTATATTAATTAATTTAATTTTAAAATTATATTACAGTATTGAATAAGTTATTAATTAATCTTGAATTTTGATTTAATTAAATATTTCCAACAGTTTTATTAGATTATTAAATGAAATTTTTAAACTTATAAACTAATAATTGTGTTCTCAAAGATAGCAAACAGCCTTCTTTTAGAAGTCTTTAATCTTTGAATTTCTTGTATATTTTTAAGGAATAAATCTCATCTTAAGAATAAATAATAAAATCTAATATGCAAGGACCTCAAAAGCCAGTTAACTGAGTGATATTTTATGATTGTTTTGAGAATGATTTGTAATTCAGTTGCTCGTATGTAAATTGAAAACATTAGTCATAAATAAACGCTTACTGGAAGTAATTCAGGATTCTTTTGTGGGGATTTCTTATTTTATAATATAATCTCCAGCCTCTACAAGAACTAGAACTGTAGATTCAGTTGCTTCATTGGAATTTGGTGAATATTATTCTGCTTCAATCTGGTTTTAACTGTTCTTAAAATGCATTTTTGGTTAACTGGTTTTTGGGGTCACTTCGTATTTCAGATTTTTGACATCTCAAAACTAATTAATGCTAATTTACTTTTCTAATTACTTCAAAGGCCATCTAGAAATTTTAATAAGAATTTACTCTTGATTTTCTTTGATGGTATTTTAAAATGGATTAAAGAAATTTTAATTGTAATCCCAGACTTATATTTACCTTAATAAACACAGTTTTAAATAAAATTAAGTGTTTTATTGTATAATTTAAAAGTTATCAATGTATCCAAATTTAGTTTATTTAATAGTTAACAATTATTATTATTATTTGGTAATCTGAGTGTTCAATCATCCAAGTTACAGTATCCACTCTTGATCCACATTACCTTAGTTAATTATGAAGCTACTCTTTTCACAGATTGATTGATATTACTTTTTATTGAATTTTTAAATTATTAAAATAAATCAAAAATTGATGAGTATTTTCATTTTTATTATTCAAAGCTGCTTCAGATTAGATCTAATATGAAAATTCTGCTTTCAAACTTTTGTATTGAATCTAATTAGAAGATGCTTTGAATAATAAAAATGAAAGTACTCATTAATTTTTAATTTATTTAAGTAAAACCTCCAAAATCACCTTTAAAGGTTCATTAATCACTTTAATTGCTAACATTTTTGGCTGCATTTAACTTACCTTATTTGAACACAACTGTCATTTGTTTAGTAAGTTTATCCTGAAGAAGGTTGGTTAAATATGGCCGAAAATGTTAGATTAAAATGGTTAATGCAATTTTTAAGGTTTTTTTGGAGTGTTTACTATTCAGCATTGGATTTCTCAGTAGTTATTTTAAGTAATTTAAGAAAAAGTATTACCAATAACTGTATGAGTAGCCTATGTAGTACTAGTTTTAAGGTATCAAAAATCTTATATAATAACATTTGTCCATTTATTCTGACGATAAAGAGAAGATGCTTTGAATATCTTCTGATTAGATTTAACACAAAATTTGGAATGCAGAATTTTTTGAGGATATACATGGTAGGTGCCAAAAGTTTCCAGCCAATGTTTTATATATGTATAAAACAATGATGTCATTTTTTGATATAGTTTCCTTGCAGTTCAACATACATATTACATCTTGGAATTAGCATTTCAATACCCTTGAAAAAATAATCTGAAGTTTTGTCTGCAAAATGCTCATAAACTGCCTCCTACAACTCTTCATCACTTTTCAGAGGTCTTTTTTTTTGAATTTGGGAAACATATAATTACTAGGAGCCAGGTCTGGGCTGTAGGGTGGATGGTTAACTCCTCAAACCCACACGCCTTCACAACTGCCTAGACACTGGCAGTCATGCACTGGTGCATTGTCATGCAAGAGGCAAGCATGATGCAAATTAATGCATCAAGTGTAACTAAAATGATTGTTTCCAAGCAACTTATGCAAATTTGCAAGAAAACCGTTTTATTAGTCCACGTACAGATGGCACTATTTGATACTATCATTGTTTTATTCCTATCATGTCTAAAATACAGTTAGGCCAGAAGCTTTTGTATCTACCTCATAAGTGTATGTTTGAAGTCACAAACCAAATTAAAACTAATTTCATTTCATTGAAGATTTAAATTTTTTGACATACAGTAGAGTCTCCATAGTTTGTATCTCAATAGTTTGAGGCACTAGCACCTAAACAAAAGTGCAAGTACTCATCCAGAATGTGTATAAGTTATGTATTTTGGTAATTCAACTCAACTGTGTGACAACATATGCTGAAATAAGCATGATAAAAGGTCTAACATTGTCTTTCAATTTATTTCATTTGTGAAATGATATGGTTACCAGTTACTTCCAGATAGCTACCACTTGCTCCATCGTATTTTGAGCATAATATATTATCATCATTATCATTACTAAAGCAATATTTTAATATAATATAATGGATGTATCATTATCATTGTACATATACTTTGAGGTTGTCTCATTCTTGATCAACTTGAACTATCGAGCCTACTGTATTTGTATTAATATTCAGGATTGCTTTAATTTATAATTCTCTCTCGATAGGATGTCTTTTTATTATTAGAATCTTAAATATTATTTACTTAATCATATTTAAAATTGTCTTTTTTCAGATACTGATTTTTAAAAAATCATTATTAAAAGTGACTACTGAATATTGAAATTACTAACTAGAAACAAAATGAATACTATATTGCAGTTGGAAAAATATTGAGCGGTATGTCAAGATTGGAATTTCAGCCAAGTTTTTTATATAAATCAAGTATATGGTTACAGTTAAAATTTTATTGCTGGATGCTTTCTATGAAGAAAGTCAATATATTAGTTATGGTCTGGTGACAGTAAAGAATTTACAGCATTTGAATTGGGTATGTATGTTATGGAATACAATAAACCATAAATTGATTTTTAGTCAAAAATATTTAAATTCCAAATTAATTATAAGCTATACTTAATTAATTAAGCTAGAATTAATCTAGTACAAGATAATTAAATTGCTATTCTGTGCTAAATTAATGGTTTAACCCCCATTAGGTCAAAGGTAGGTCAAGTTTTACATTACATGAATTAATAATTAGTTTAATTCTAGCCATATAATCTATCTGAAATATAAGTGTTAATAATTCCATAAACATAAATAATTGTTAATTCGAGAAAATTATCTAGTAACTTAAATATATTTACAATTTATTTTTATACATTAGAAAAATTTAGCAGTAAATACATTGTTTCAGTGATAAAATAATTTTAGATGTTAAATATGTGAAAATGTAGAATATGTACATGTAAGAGAAATACTAAATTATATCTGAAATATCTATTGTTTACTTTCTACAAATTTCTTATCATTAAACTTGTAGCTGTAAAATATCATATAAATGGCAGATTGCACATAAAAATTATTTCTATATAATATAATATATGATGAGAACAAACTGTAAATAATAAATGCATAATACTTCTGTCAACTTGAAAGTTTAGCTTATTTGAGATAGTTATAAATGAACCAAACTTTTGACACAGATTTTATTATGTAACACAGAAACTCATATGCCACATCACTTTCAAAATAAGCTCCTACTGTAGCTACCATACTATTCTATCAGCATACATATCACTTGTCAAAGCAATTGTGGAAGCTGTTTTTTGTGATGTCTTTTTAAGGGATCACCTTGTTGCATCTTCCATTTCTGTTGCTGATTTGGAACTTGCAACCTTCCTTTCATTTTAAGAACAGCTACAAGTCTGCATGGGCAAGATCATAGAAATTAGAGATTCAGGTAGTATTGTTATAATCTTCATCAGGTATTCTTTAACAAGAATAACTGATGGAAACTGAGTACTAGATGAATATGGTGTTGTGAAAGAGTATGTAATGCTTAAAAACTCTGGGCCAAAGTCAAAAATGGTTTGTTTTATTCTGCTTCATGTTAGTGACTTAACTCAGTTAACTTTATATAGTTTCTATTAACAAGTTTATAAATTTGTCATTGAAAAAGTTTTCGTAACTTCTTGTACTTCAAAGGAGAAAAATCAAAAAGAACAAGATAAAATATCAAACAGAAATTACAATTTAAAGCAAAATCTAAAAAAACTTGTAAATATAACAAAAATTTATTTTAAGGGGGAAATACTTATAAACAGTTTAAATAGTCTAATTAAGAATAAATTGTGCAAGAAATTCAATATAACAGTAACTATGATGTGGCATACATTTTTCAAGTTTATTGGCTTGCTCAATAAATTCCACAATATCTATTTCATTTTCTGATAAGTCAAATCTAAGTCTCAGCATCAAACAATGTTTCTAGTTTGAAATATAAAGGGAAATCAGTTTAAAAAATTCTGTTGTTTTCTTGCAGATCGTATCTTCAAAACTGTTCCATATATTGACTGAGTCAAAAAAACTGATTATATATTTTCTTAGAAGTGCTACCAATATCTTGACATAGATATCTTAGGCAAAACTAATAACCATATGTTAGAGCTGACGTGTATCATATTGGAAGCAAGACGTGTAGCATTGGATAAGTAATAATTTAGCTTTGAATTATGAACATGTAATTATTAATAAGGAAAATAAAATAATAATTGGAATATTTATGAATCGATAAAAATTGAATAACTTACATTAAATATAAGTTTGTATATAATTTTATATAAATTTGTATCTTTGCAGATATATGAATGATGCAGAAAGTCCATAGATATAAATGAAATGGCTATTAAAGAAGTTTTTATATATAAAATTCTTCTGTTTCTTCACATCTCATCTTTTTCAGTTTTGTGTGTTTGGATGGAAAGTCACAATGCTAAAGTATCCAATACGATGACTTTAATTCACATTTTTAATAAAACAGCTGAAACTGATAAAAACTGTCCTATCATATGCAAATGCTTTTTTCTTCAGACATCCGTAAATGTTGATTGCATTGAAAAAAGCTTGAATTTACTACCAAAAAATGTTCCGGCTAATGCAACACAACTATTACTTAATGGAAATAATATACACAAACTTGACAGTTTGTCCAAATCTCTTCTATATCTACAAGTTCTCGATCTTACGAAAAATAATATATCGCTTATTACAAGAGAATTTTCTGCTTACATTCCTAATCTTCATTCATTGAATATAAGTTTAAATTATTTAAATACTGTCATTCTTGAAAACATATTTCTAAATCTTTCCTCTCTCGATACACTAAATATTTCACGGAATCAGTTAAATAAATTAACGCCCTATTTATTTCGTGGCTTGCGAAAATTAAAAATCCTGGATATTAGTTATAACAGCATTGAAACAATTGACAATTATACATTTCATTTTATGGAATCATTACACTATTTAGACTTAACTGGAAATAAACTCAAAATTTTGAAACATCAATGGTTTCAAAATTTAAACAAACTTTCTGTCTTAATATTACAACAAAATCATTTGCAAAATATCAGTAATCTTGTATTTTCAACACTACATAATTTATCTTATCTTGATCTTAGTAAAAATAATATTGGGTCTGTTGGGCTGCTCAGTTTTAAGGGCCTTAGTAATTTAAAGTATTTAAATTTTAGTTTGAATAATGTAAGTTCTTTGCAGGAGGGAATCTTTAAATCTGCAGATGGAGTAGAAGTAGTTGATTTTAGTCACAATCCACTCATAAACATAGAAAAGTCATTCAGCTATTGCCACAATGTAAAATTTTTACGATTGGTTAATACTACGCTAAAAACTTTAAGCAGAAATAGCTTGTTAGGTTTATCAAATCTTCAGCAGTTACAGTTAAGTGATTCTTCAAAACTTTCTTCTGTTGATAGAAGAGCTCTTTTAGTAGCCACTAAATTAAATGATTTAGATTTAAGTAAAAATAATCTTTCAACTTTACATTCAGAATTTTTAAAACCACTAAAGGAATTGAAATTGATCAGATTGGAGGGAAATCCTTGGAAATGTGATTGTCATATGTATTGGATATTATTGTGGCTTCAAGATCAAACTGAGACCCATTTGACATCACCAGATGAAACATTTTGTAAATATCCTTCTGAATTAAATGGGCATAGTTTGCTTGATGCCCTCGATCATCGTATTGTATGTACTAATGCAACTATACGTGAGTATTCAACTCAGGCACATTTTCATATTGGATCAACTGCATTACTTCAATGTTTTGTAGAAGGAAATCCCACTCCAGTATTAACCTGGATTACACCTCATAATTTAGTCTTCCATTGGTCAGAACAATGTTGTAATGATTCAGATTGTAATGTGACTTCTTGTAATGTCAATCATCCTTCTGTTCATACCACATTAAAACAGTCTGTTCCAAAAGATGTTTTAAAGCGATTTCTTATCCTGCAAAATGGCAATCTACTAATCCGGAATGTACAGAGACAGGACTGTGGTTTTTATCATTGTGTTGCATCAAATCCTATGAGTAATCAAACAAGAACAATACATCTTACCTTGGATCATAGCTTTTTAAATCACATAAAAATTGTGAGTATTTTGGTTGGTTTAGCTATAAGTTTTGGATTTCTACTTGTTACATTACTTTCGGTATTCATACAACTTATTTTAAGTCGCTGTGGAATAGAATGTCCCTGCAGTACATCACCTAAATCCCAACAGATAAAACGTATCTTGGATGGAATGGAACATTATAAACGTCAACAATTGGAGAGACTACGTGAGAATTATAATTTTCAAGTGCAAAGGATCAAAGATAATTGTATGCAACAAATGGAAAAATTAAGAGAAAGCTATTCTTCTCAAATAGAGCGTCTGCGTGATATTCGTGACTATGGAACATTACAAATCGACCGTATTAGAGAGAATTATTATCTACAGGTGCAAAGAGTAAGAGATTACAGTGCATCTCAGATTGATCGTTTGCGTGAAAATTATTTTTTCCAGCGTAGTAGAATACGTAAATTCAGTGCCCACCAGCTTTATAAGTTGAGAGAGAATTACAAGTTGCAACAACAACACTTCAATAAAATATTTGAAAATCTTAATATCGAAAGCTGTAGGAATGTTTGTGCTAGAACTGATTCGATAATCTTTGAACCGGAAATAACAGTCGAACCTATCTTTGTAACGAAGATATGTTCTCTCGAACAGACGCCACATGATCAAACTCCAGATTCTGGAGATAGTTCTAGTCAGGTTTCTGCTTACTTCACACCCGATGAGGAAGGTTCAGAAATATCACAGGGGGAGGGGGAAACAGATGATATTAAATGTAATGATATCTCAAAATCTACCAGAGAAATTTCAGGTAAGATGAAAGAAGACCAAGCCTTGTCCATTCCATCCAAAATCAAATCGACTTCTAAAAGTCTCGATTTCCAAGACATCAAACAAGAAGTTTCGCAAGATACATTTCCTATAGACAAGTCAGAGCAAAACGAATCTGAAACTGCAGTTTGATTTTTGTGGAAATTATTTTCTTAATGAAAAAAATTACATACATACATACATAATACATATATATGTAAGTAACAAAATTTATTTTCAAGTATAGTCACTCTTCTCTAGATTCACCTTTATCTGTTTTCATATTAAAACTTAATTGTATTAAATTTCAGTTTTAATAAGAGAAATTACTTAAAACACTCTTACAGCACTTTATTAGTAGGAAATGTAGAATTAAGTGCTGATGTTTTTTGAAAGAATTCACTCGTACTTCTGTTGCTAAATTATTAACGTCAGATAACATCTGTGATATAAAAATTTACTTCCACATAATTTCAAGAATCAAGGAAAATAAAAGTTTGTTAAGAGTTTTGTAAACAAAAATTGAATTTTCTTCAGGTATTTTAAATTGTATTCTATTAATGCATGTGTATATAAAGACTTAGCAACAAAATAAATGAGGAGGAGGAGAAAAACATAAAAATTTGATTTACAGGAAGTAGTGTTAAATACTGCACTAGTTATTTGGAGTGTTAATCAAATTTTGATGCTAGAGACTATATTTTTGTTTCATACAAACATGATTCTTAAATAAAATAAATAAAAAAAAAATGAACTGTATTTGAGTGAATGACTTTATTTATTTTTGTCTTCTGTGAATATTAATTTTATCTTTGCCTGAAACATTAAAATTTTAAAAAAGCAGTAAAGATAACATGTTGATCTGAAGTAAATGGGTTTCATGGGACAAATTTTCATGGGTGATTTGATATTGGACTCATCATTACCCACCCGTCTGTCTCATTTTGGGCTGGAATGAACCCATGATGGACATAAAGTAACACCCTCTTAACGACTAAAAGGAGTTAAAAAAACACTGATAAAAATTTTTAGCATATATTTTATAAATTGTTGATGTGAGCCACAATGTACAGTAGCCACTAAGGGGGACTTTCTTCATGCCCATCTTTGGTACATCCAGGTAGTGAGAAACAGGATCCAACATATCCAGACTGACCCATGCATGAAAAATTGAGCCTACTCGGACTCAAACCTAGATCTTCCAGAAAACAGGGTAGTGATTGTTTGACATTCTGGGAACCTGGGTTCAATTCTGGATCCAAGAGCCTCAAGAATTTTTCATGGGAACTCTTCTGGATAAGTTGGGCACTGCCCTCACAATTCATGAAAGATGTGATTAAAAAAAATTCTCTTGGTGTCCGCAGGGGAAAATGGTTAAAGGCTGAAAATAAAAAACAGCAAGCTAGTGTTTTACTGCCCAGTTGTCAAGAAAGGATTTATTTTGGAAGTAATTCAATTTGATGATGATGGTATTTTTTTAGTAAGTTATAAGTTCACTATATAAGTTGAACATTTTTGCACGCTTATTATGGGTTTGACTAAGCTTACTGTAGGGCATCCGAGAGATGGAGCCTGACTTATCTGGCTAAACATGTGAAAATTTGAGCCAACCCAAAATTTAACTCTGAATTCTTAAGCACAGCAGGTTGGCATTGGCCATTACACTAACATACTACCAGTTCTGTAGCCAGAGTTAATCGTTGGAGAGGTTACAGGGGCAAGCTGAAAAAATGCTGACTGATATCTTTGTTTTCCAACAAGCACAAGATACAGTCAAACTGTAAAATGTAACAGTAACTTAAGTTTTTGATGAAAACAAAATCTTATATCTTCAGTACTTCTGGAATGAAAAGGAGTTTTGACCTTATACCTAATTAAAATACTATAGTTACTGCTGTCACTTTGCTGGTACTTTAGGACTGATCAGGTAAATATTCATTTAATGCATATATAAAAAACTAGAACAAAGAATTCTATTTTGATATTTCATCAAAATGTCTTTAGTCAAAAACATTTGTTCAATTAGATAATCATTTAATTATCCAAAGTAAGAATAGAACAAAGTTTCAAAACATTAAAACATTTTGGAACATACAGTAGACCCCTATAAAACAGGTTCATATAATACAGATTCATGTAATATGGCAAAAAAATTGCGATTGTATTTGTATAAACATGCTAAAGAGACTTATAATACAGTAAAACGTCATCACCGATTCGTGTTGCGACAGACTTGGTCGAATCTAGACCAATAGCAGATATTGCACAAACTGTTGAGTTTAAACAAACAGCGGACCTACTAAAAACCATTTATTATTTAACGGCCATAAAAATTGTATTTATATTAATGTCTCCAAAGTTCAGCAAATTTTTCGTAGAATAATAACTTATCAGGAAACACGCCCGCCGTTCGATGTGCTGCTCTGAGACAAAAACAAACTTAAGCAATGGCGTTGTCGTACGGTGCACACTTGGTAAGTAATCCTACAATTTTTTGTTTATAGCATAGATTATATGGATTAGTCCCAAAAAATTGTGTTTTGGAAATGTTGAGTCAAATTAGTCTAGAATCGATTAATTTTATGGAAGAAAATCTTTCAAACAGCCGTAGTCCGTAAACTGCATAAGTGCGGGGCTGTGATTGGCTCATGTATTTAAGTGATCGTAAAACATGGAATTGTATAAAACGGAACATATCTACCATATTATAGGGGGGTGTACTGTACTGTGTTTTTATGGTAAAGTGATTAAATTCGATTACATGATGGTTGAAGACATTTGTTAAATTAAATAGTCATTTTGCTGGAATATAAAGGTATGTTTCTAATATTCATTTAACACTTTCAACTTTATGAATGTACTGTATCCCTAACTTCAATTGTCTGTTCAAGGTTAAATTTATCAATCTATGTAGTGTTATATATGCACAGATTAAGTGTAACTTAATCTGTGCATATATAACATTGCATAATAGCAAACTTACAAAAATATTGTGTGTTTAAGTAGTTCATATACAATTTCTTTTTATAAACTTGGTAAGTATGTGGAAGCTGCAGTAAGGATCTAGAAGAGTCAGTTTGGCTACCATGGCCACATAGCCTACAGCTGCACTTAGTCTATTACAGAGTATTTAATTGGTACTAAACTGAAAAGTTTACTGTAATTAATTTCAATTTATAAAAATTATGTCAAGAGAAATGTAGTATAGGGACTAGTTTGGTTTGATGGGATAAGGCAGGGGTGGCCAACTTTTGTGTACATAAGATCTACTTTTTATCTTAACCCTTAACTGGTTTCGTAAATTTTACAATCATAACTGGTATCATGGGGGCTGCGCAGCCCCCAAGCAAAATTTGCCTTTAGAGAGCAAGTTTAACAATGTGACAGTTTAAAAGAGCATAAATGCTAAATGGAACCCTTCTTTAGTATAATCAACTTTTATTTATTTATATAATTTTCTTTACTTAATTATTACAAGAAATCACAAAATTGTTACAACTTTTGGTGTATGCTTTTTTTAACAATACAAAAATCTACCCTATTGTAAGTTTTTACCAAAGATATTTTGTTTTCTTATTCTNCAACTTATGTATGTGAATAGTTTTTCCCGCAATGAATTTAGTAAAAATTAAAACGAGAAACCGGCTAACAGACTCGCCTTGAAACTAATTTAAAACTAGCAGTGACTAATATTTAATCAAATATTTTCGATACATTACGTTTACATCAGTTCTAGAAGCTAAATTAAGTATACCTATTCTAATTTATAATTATATATAAATAAATAATTGTGATTTACCGGCTTTCCCCCCTCTTTTATCTTGTATGCGGCCCACGTCAGTTCAAAAGTTTTGAAATGCGGCCCTTACACAGAAAAAGGTTGTCCATCCCTGGTCTAAGTGGCGAGGGGGAGGGAGGTGTAAAATACATATTATGTTTAGATAGATAAGAAAAGCCACAATTTAATTTAAAACACGAAGAATAAGGTACAGTACTTGCATTTTAAACAAGAAAAATTGAAACTCAACATTGTCACTTTCGAGGACCACCACTTCACCCTTTCTCTCTTTACCGTATCCTGACCTACTCTCTCTGTCCCTTCTTTTTTTCAGTTTACGACCCTTTGTCTACATTTCTTACTCCCCTTTTATAACTGTATGCAAATGGATTGCACACGGACCGACAAAACCGCATCTGAGGGAGAACGAGAAGGTCCGATATCACTACAGTTGCATTTGCGTGTTACGTTCACGCGTTGCGTTCAGTTACAACTTACAAGTGTAACACATTAAGTCAAGACATCGCGAGCGATCAACCAAAATTGGTTTTGCGATTGACTTGTTGGCCACCCCTGGGATAAGGCAATTTTAATAGGGTTATCTGCCTCGGGAGGTTTTCTATGCAAAAGTGACTAGATGTCAGAAATGTGGAGGAGCAGGGATTGGATGTCAAAGTGATGAGAACACATTTTCTACAGTTGAAAGGCACAAAGCAAGCTTTTTAACAACACTAGTGCAGTTAGAAAGCTTGGAGATGAGCACAGAGATTGAGGGACTGCAGGACTGAAAACTACTGTCAAAAGTCTGTTGGTTCTGCCTACAGCTTTTCAACAACATGATCCTCTTAGTGTTGAGACATACATACATACATACAAGACTTTGGCCGTACATGAGGTATTTAGCCAGTAGAAGAGGGAGAAGAGATAGACAGTAGAGAAAGGTAGGATCCCTCTGAATGGCGTACATAAGGCTACAGTACCCTCTGATGTTGGCATGCAGTTTTTAGGCTGAAAGGCCAGTCCCCCAAAGGGTCTAAAAGAAAACCTGAGTATAGCAAACGCCAATAATTGAGTGCCATCATGAATAGCTAAGTGTAGAAGTTAGTAGGAAGACTTATATCTACTTAATACAATAATAAAACTGAATGCGATCGAAAATCTTAATACTACTTAACAGCTAGACAGACAGTGTGAAAAGCAAACGAACACAATGACAAACTAGATGAGACAAACAGGCAAGACCCCAAAAAATTATTATTTTTTTTTTTAAAGTTAACTTACTAAACTAACCTACCATAACCCAGGAAGAACCTAACCAGATGACTAAAGATAACAAACCCTAATCTAATTTAACCTAACCAGAAACCAAGCTAAGAGTCCCTAATCTAACTTACAACTAGAACTAACTGAATTTAGATTGAAAAAGAAGACAGAAAATAAGAATTAAAATACAAAGTTGAAAGGCAACTATATACTGATAGTTGAAACAAAGCAAGGAAAGTTTTGTTTTAATTGCCATCCGTGCCCCCCGGAGTGAGTGCTCTCAAGAGCCCCATTAAGGGATATGAATGCGAGTAGATGATGTAACATTGTACAGTACATGTGTGAATGAGTTGGTGTGGGTTGCAATGCCAGTTGTATCTTTCAAGAATAGGAATAGTTTAATGAGAGCTGATAATATGATTGTACCTATTGCAGCAAAAAACTAAGTGAAGTGGTGTTTGGTCCTTTTGAATACCAAAATTGCATTGTGGATTGTCCCAAGATTAAATCTATGCAAGTATTGCTTAAAGTTGCTGTGTTCTGTAAGTAGCTGAGTGAGGGTGTAACTAGGGTAAAAGTAGCAAAAAATTGCAGTAGTGTCAATCTTGGGGATGAAAGTGTAGGTGAGCCTACCAGTGGTGTCATGGTCCCAGCTGTCTTGCCAGAGAATGAAGATTTGCTTTTTGACATGATTGTTGATGTACAAAGTAGGAATGTAACTGAAAGTAGTAGTGATGAAGACTTTGCAGCTTGTTTGGCAAGATGGTCAGTGGTCTCGTTGCTGAGAACCCCACATGACCTGGGACCCATTGGAAATCTATTCTAATGTTGTTGTCTAACTGTCTGAGAATGTAGTGTATAAGATGGACAAGTTTTAAGCGACATTGCAGTCCTGTGTAAAGCTACCCTACTGTCAGAATAAATGCAATAGTGTAAGTACAGTAATACCTCGACTTACGTGATTTTCAAATCTTGTTGATTCGTCTTTTGTTTGAGCACCACGCAACTCTTGATTACTCACTCTCCCACACTATTGTTCAGCTTACATATTCGGACGTGTTGCGCGGAATCGACACATATCTACTATTTATTTTGTGTTATTTATTTCTGTGTTTGTTATATCTACAGAGACTTGAGAGAGACTATGTGGTGATTTCTTGTAACCGTGAATGAATCAAAAGACGAGATAAGATTCACGAGAACATTTATTAGCTTACATACATCCGACTTGGATTTTACACAAATTGCGAAATTATACCCCAACTTACGCGAATTCGACTTAAGTGGTTATCGCTTGGTCCCACCTATCACGTAAGTTCAGGGTATCACTGTAGTATCTTTTGGCCTTCCTATGCTTAATATGAATTAAGCTCATATAAATAGCTAAAGTTTCTGCCTGTGCTATTGAGCAGTGTGTACCTAGACAGAAAAAAGCATTATGAAGCTCACAGCCTTAGAGTAAACTACAAAAGCGGCATCCACATTGTCACCCATTTTGGAACCATTAGTGTCGAGACAGGAGAATGAGCTTAGCTCCCTCTGAATGGAGTTACATTCTTCTTACATAAGAGAAATATGGCCCATGCCCTGCTAAATAATCCATACAGACCTCTACAAGTGGAAACCAAAAGATCTGCTGGCCAGGAAGGTGAAGGCAGTAGGCAAAACTACACAGCTGAGGTGCCAAAGCAAATGCCTATCCAACCCGCATTGGAACATATTCGCTTTGCTTATCTCAAGGACAGGAAGGATAGCAGCAATACAGTGTGAGAACCAGGGATGGATTTACAAGTAAGCTATAGCTTAGGGTATTGAGTTCCAAGAGTCTCAAAAATTTCCACAAAAAAGAAAAATAAAAAAATTTTATTACAAAAATTTGACTTAACAATAGTATTTAGTGAATTGGACAAATTTCTCTGCTTATGTTTAATTCTCTTTATGATTGACTTCTTAAATTGTAAAGGGGCCTCACACACACAGTTCAGCTTAAGGCTTTGAAATGCCTAAATCCAGCCCTGGTGAGAACACTTGAGATTTACATGTTTTTCCTTAAGCTGAAAATGTGCATTAAAAACATCTGCTAGGTCAGAAAGAATGAAATTCTGCTTAAGTTTGCAATCAAATGGGACATCCAAATGCTTCAAAAAGAGTTCATGGAAGCTGGAGGTGTCTTTCAGCTACCTCAGAAGTATCAGCTCAGTTATAATATAAAATGTCTACCAGTAGTGACAAGCTGGCAGAGATTGTCAGCCTGTATGCCCAAGTCATTTTGACAATCTAAAGCTTAAGTTTGCTATGAAATGAAGAGGGTTAATTAATTAATTGGGTCTGTGAGGTTAGGGTTTCTCTATTTAAAAGGCTCCTACACTGAAACTGGATTGGGGAATGTTTTGCTATAACTTGATGCCCATAGATGCAACGAATTTGGACACGAAGTCAGCGGTCCAAACCCGTAGTCACTGCTGTGAAGAGCATTCTTATAGAAAGTGCAAAGCAACCAAGTTTCAGTATGGCAATTGCTGTAGCTGAACTCCAGCCATCCCCATTTGAGTATCAGATGCCTCTCACCTGATGGAACTCAGTGGTTAAGCCAAGGACTATGCTTGTAAAAAGATGGGAAGTACATTTGAGACTAAAAGGAATTGATGGTATTAAAGTAGAGATCTTTTACATCTATGGCTCTGGGTAGAGCTCTATAGTTAGATCTTGAATCCCTTTGTTCAGTATAAATGTTGGGCCACTTAGAAAACCACAAAGATATGCTAAAGCCAATATAGGTAAGGCTAGTAAGGGCCAATGATGCTTGTTAACTAGGGTTTCTCATTTCCCGGTCATCCTGGGATTCTAGGAAAAAAGTGAACTATTTCCCGGGATTCCAGGATATAATTAATTATTTTCAAGATATAGAACAAATCTTAAAATTGAATGATATAATGGTAATAATTTATTATGCTGTCTTTTAAAGTTTTTTGGGTAGTCTAAATTATCATTTTTGAACCATTTTGATTCCCAACACTCCAAAGATGATAGATTTGGTACATTATTAATTAAAAGGAAAGGGCCTGCTCGACAACCCTGAATGTAGAGATGTTGGGTCTTGAGCAGTATAAGTTTTCAAAATATTTGGAATTTCATGTTCCATTTCTCAGTTATGCCATTCCTTCAATTTAACAATGCCAATTCTTTTTGGAGACAGAACATCTTTGTCATTGGATGATGTGAGTTAAAATTTCAAGCGCATGAAGTATACCAAAATGAAATTTATCTCTTTCACTAATTAAACAATGCCAAGTAGCTAAAAAAGACGATAAGTTACTTTATAATTTCAGAATTTATTTGAAATTATTGTTAAAGTGTCTCGCTAAGGACATTTCCAAAACATTAAAATAAAAATTAGAACAATTTTTGATTGATCACCACAGTGCACGCAATTGTCAATTACATGCTTCATTTGTTGTACGTAATTGATAATTGCTTCTTGCTTATGTTTACAAGTTTAATTTTTGTAATAATAAATTTTGTTTTTGGTTGTGTGTGAAAATTTGTAAGCATCAAGTGGAATACATTAGGTATTGAGATATTGATTAGTAATGTAGAGAAATTGCAATCTTTACTTGCATGTTGAAAAAACCCTACATTAGTTTTATCTGGAAGGAAATACATAATTTTAAAATGTATCTCATTTTAAAATTCTCCAATTTGTCAGAGAATTGCAGAAAAACTAATTTTAATTAAAAAAAAAAAATCCAAAATACTCCCTCCCCTAATCGTGCAAAGAGAGTTTTTACTAGTCTTATTGATAATACATTTTTGCACTATTTCCGTTTTGCAATACATAAATGGGGCTCAGTTGTTGAAATTGCTGAAATAAAATTAAATATCACACCATCGGTAGATGTAATAGATGTAATCTATTGATTTTATCGGTATGCCGAGCAAATAAAGACACGACACACACTTATAGAATTGGAACTCGCGGCTCAAATTTTTAAATTAAAAACAAACCTGTAGACACAAAGGCTCTTTAAACAAGCCCATTAAGGGGCCGGCTGGGAACCACATGGCTATTGCTTTATGAAAGTTTAAAATTAGAAGAAAAAACATTTATGAATGGTTTAAAAGTGGTTAATCCAGCAGTTGTCAAATAAATAAGATTTAAAAATCTAACAATGAGTTGCTTAACATTCCTGGCAACATTTGGTGGCACCATCTATTACGATATCTTATTTAAAAACTTTCTATGTTATACTAAAATGGCAAAAAGCTTTATTTTGAGAGTAGAGACAAGTTTTATAAAAGAAAAAATGTAAATGTAAAATCAATATATAATAAGTAAAATCAAGTCCAACTTCAGTTGAGATATGACACGACCCTCTATTGCCCCACTCCCTCGACCCCTAACCACTAAAATTTAATAACATCAATGTCCCTTATATAAAAGCTATACCATGCCAAATTTTGTTTCTTAATCATTACCCCATCCTGAGATATTAAGCAGGCCACTAATGAGCTCTCGGGACTAGTGTTCAAGTTGGACTTCCAAATTTCGTGGGCATGGAGCCTATAATATGTTCATATTTTAGGTTCCATGTAGCCAAGTTTGTTAGGTTTATGTATATCCAGCTAATGAAATATTAGCTGTGTTCTTGTTGTGGACCCGACTGTACTTGCAGACCTGTGGAAGGACCGTTTTGGTGTCTAGAGTTGAAAGAATTCAGAAAAAAACCACTCCCTACCTCGAGTGAAAACAGCTTTTATTTACAACAGGAAACTTTTTCAAATTAAATTTTTGTTTGAAATTTGTGTTTGTGGAAAAAAGATTGTACAACTGTGTTGCTGGGTATTTCAAGACTTTTATAACTTATCAAAAGCTTTGCATAAACAATATTAGAGAGCAGAGTAAGAACTACATTTTATTTACATTAATGAAAAATTTCATATAAAACAATTTCAGCTTTACTAAATATTTCCACATTATAAAATGACATTTTATGAGATTTGTCGGCTTCAGTTTATTAAATTCATATAAATATTTATTGTTGACATACAGACTATATACTGCAACATTGCAAACAATTACAAATATACAAAAATTTATCAAAATCTGTATATCCTTTTTTGTGAAAAATCACACAATTTTCCTTCAAAGTTCTTTTACTCTACAGAAAATGAAATCTTTCAAATGATCTGACTATTTAAAGCATAAAATATGCTAGACAAAAGTAATTTTCATATATATGGGGTGGTTCGAAAGTTGGTTAACCAAGATATATTGACCACATCACAGCTAACTCTTAGATTTTGACTTAGTGCCACTTTTCAACCAGCACTATGTCAAAGTATGGTTCTTAACTGAAGCACTTCGATGGCCAAGCAGTCAAAGGTTCTTCAGGTATGATGGTATCCTACTGCTCTGGAGATCTGGGATTGAATCCAGATGAATGAAAAAAAGCCCCAGGAATTTTTCAGGTTGGGCCCTGTCCCTCACCACCCAGCTGAACCCACATTGGGCTTGCTAAAAGAAGCCCTCTTAGTGTCCACAGGACAGAGTTAAAAAATAAATAAAAATCTGAAAAACTTCGAGTAATAGGGATTGTGATAGACTTCATTACTACATACCTGGTGATCATAATTAAAGTTGTCCTATTCAGAGAATGCTGTAGCTCTAACCAATAATAATGTATTTTGCAAATAAAAATTTTAGTTCCAAATTACCCTGATTTTCTTAAAAGAGCAATTAATGCATGCTCTGGCAAAGTGATGGCCATCCTAGCCGTAGCCAATAAGAATGCATTCGCTAGTTGTCGGCATTTTTATACCCAGTCTCGGATGCATTCCACTTGGTAGCGCATGTCATACTTCTTTGCTTTCAGTGCCATTTTTTCAATGGGACCAACTTTAATTATGATCACTCTGTAAAAGTTTGAATTTGAAATGCTGAATTGATATCATTTACAATGCAAACATGCAGGTACTGAAGGTTATTTTCAGTATTTGTTACTGCTTTACAACAGCATGACTATTTAGGTAGGAACTATATCAAGGTCTGACTGTATATTTTAAACAATCTTGATTAACTGACTCTTAAGCCATCCCCTACATATATCTTCATATACATACAATATATAGTGTGATTCCAAAATAGGGAACAAACTTTGGGTGGCAATTTCTGCAAGACAAGAAAGAAAACTGCTGCTATAAATGTGTCCAGAAATCCATAGTACAACACAATAAAGACATTTTCATAAAACATGGTTGTTCTAGAAAAATGTGCGAATGCCATCTGTAATGCTATTTGGATACAAGCAAGAACACCTAAAAGGATGCGGCAGTCCACATTTGTGTAGACACATAGGGGACACTTCAAGCATTTGCTGTGACTGGCTAGGTATTACATACTGTTCTGTAATTTTATGCAGTGAAATAAATCCTTTAGTATGTTTACAGGAGCATTTTTGTTTCTTGTCTTGGCAGGAATTACTGCCTAAAATTTGTCCCCATATTTCAGAACTACCCTGTACCATTTCTTATATGTTTATTGAGATCAGTAACTTTTCTTCCCTCATACTAAGATATAATTTTGATGCTTTATGTTACATAAGATTTTATTAACAAAAACAATTTATTTTCAGTTGTAATTTTTGAAAGTTAATATAAGTGGGATCATTATTATAAAAAGTTTTGAAACCTTTCCAACTGTGTTTATTTTTTGTTTTTGTTTTGTATCTACAATCTAATATACAGAATCTTGAAAAAGTTTCCATTTATGGAAAACATTTGGATAAATATGTATAACGATAAGAAATGTAATTTTTATTCAATTGCACACTTAACACAAATATTTAAAATTGATATAAACTCCGCATCAGAGAATGCTTTATTTTCCCACAAGCGTCCACCGCCTTGATTGGCCTGCAAATATATCAAACCGTAGATAAATAGTTATTTTAAAATAATGTATTAAATGGTAAACAATATAGTACGTGGTTTTGAAAAGAAAAATATACGATCAATGAATAAAAAAAGTCTGCAACAAGTTGCGTAACTTTCTTGGCAAAAACATTTAGAACTAAGTGTGGCGCCATATATTACAATATTTTGTTAAATAAACTTCATATTACAGTAGATCGTCAATTATCAGAATCAATTGGGGACTGGGGTTATATGGAAAATCGATTTTTCGGATAACCGATTAGGTACGAAAAAATACATTATTAATATAGTATATTAATATGTCCCATGTTTAAATTTTTCTCAGTTGCATTGAATTTTCGTTGACGTTAAGTCTAACAAAAATTTTTATAATAATTATCGTGTCTATTGTATTGTTAAAAATTATTTCTTTATTTTGTTTGTACAAAATATATTGAAAAATATAAAAACAAAAAAAAAAATTATACTTTAGAAGTTAATCTAGTATCAAGAAGGTTCGATTCAGCACGACACAGTGCGACTGGAACATTTTCAGTTGATTGGCATTCGGATAATCGACGCTCTACTGTATTACAAATTGGCAAAATTGCTTATTTTTTTTTAACAAGTGGAAACTGATTTCCTAACTGATGGCCATCTATATAGACAATCTCGGTGAAGTCAGAATTTATTCTAATAAAAAGTTATGCAAAATGTTTATTTTGCATCAATTTTATAATAAAATTATACTCTTATTAATTAAGAACTTAAAAAAGTTTTAAATTTTTAAAGTATTAGAAATTTTTCAGCATCAAAGGTTTAAAACCTAACTTAAAGCAATTTTTCTTGACATACATGCATAATTAATTAATACCAACATTTAACATAATATAAAAATACAATGAAAAACATATCAAATTGGAAGTAGTCATATTAATTTATTAATGTATTTTATAAGAGTAATAATTTTTTAAAATTCTAATAATCCAATCATTGAGCAAAGCTCTGCATAAGTCAAAGTGTTTTGTCTGTGTTTGAAGTTTAAAGGAACTGCACTGCCACTAAACATGATTTTTTACGAATACAACTGGGCAAGGCCACTGTTGCAACAAAGCCAGAATTTTGAAATTCACTCTACGGGCCAAGATATTCGAGGTCAAAGTTTGCCATGCAAAGTCTATAGGCCGATTTCCAGCTGTAAGCAGGTTGCATGCTACATGTCAATTTTTTATTTTAGATTTTGATCAGTTTTCCCTATTTTTTTTTTACACAGTTTTAGTTTTCTATGCCTTGGAGCTCAGTTTCATTTTCCTAGAAAATATCCAGTATAATTAATCTTATTGTGTAATAATTTTATATATTTTTTTAAAAGTTATAGAATATATATTAACATTATCAAAAAATTAAAACTTAATTCTTGTTTAATACTGTTAATATTAATATATTTAACTATGTGAAATTACACCAAATGATTGAATTTACCAAAAATATTATTTACTTTATTGATAATTATCTTAAAATTTTTAGTTTTAACACTAAGTAAACTGAAATAAGTTTATTAATGAATTATTCTTTTTTTGATACGTGCTATTTTTGGTCTTTTAAATGAAAATGATAAACTGATCTTATTGAAATTATTTGTTATAAATATTACAAAAAACACTTCAAAAAGTAAAGCAGTTCTTGATTTTTGGTCAACTTTGTTCCTTCATATAAGATACTTTGATACTCCTAAATTGCTATTTTTGTATGGCAAATTTACATTTCTGTACATTTTCAGCTGATAAAACTTTCGTGCTATTATTCATAGTGCTTTCTGCCAGTTTTAGTTTTGATAATAAAATCATCTGTAAGAATTAATTTTTATTGTTTGTTAACTATTTAATTTATAGCGTTAACACTAAACTGTTGTAACATATTCACTGCAAAACACAAATTTTTGTACAAATAATAAGAGATTTTATAATTTTCATTTTTAGTTCTCTGTACATGAAATTCTATTGTTCAACTTTCACTTATGTCTTTAGAAACATCCAAAAGTTGGGGACAGCCCGTATATAAATGAACTGCTTTAATTGAAGCACAAGAAGGAAAAAGTAAATACGTACTGTACATGTTTTCAGGTTATTAGCTCAATCTTTAGGCATAGAAAATTCAATTCAATGACATTACTATGGATACGGAACGGTAACATATAAATGTATTGAAGGTAATAAATTAAAAATAATTATTATATAATATTACCATATTTTTGTGAAATGACCAGCATGCCGGTCTATCCGGGCAGACCATAAAATCAGATATTTCTGTATGGTTAAAAGTGGCATGCCGGTTTAAGTGAGGTTATGCATTCCTCTCTGGAGGGAGCATAAAAAAAAAAAAAAAGTTGTCACATAACAAGGAATGAGTTTTTATTCTAACAATATGAAAATGTTAACATTACATCAAAAACTACAATTATATGTTTAATTTCTTCATTTTGTCTTCTATCTAATGATGTAAAATACTTGTGGAATTCCGAAAGTGCTTTTTTTATACGTATTTTGTTGTTATTTGATTCAAAAATGCAAAAACAAACACATTAAATCTAAGAAACTGGCAGTAAATTATCTCATCTTACACAGATTAATATTGGCTTTGAATGAAATTTTAGAGGAAGGTGTTATTTTTAAGATCAGTGTAGTCCACACTGACTAACTACTGCTACTATTAAATTGTTAATTGTTTTATTGGCTTGTAAACGAAAACACTTCCTGATTTTAAGCTGGTAAAATTACAATGTTGTTATTTTATTGTACTCAAGAAGAATGTTTTCTTTAACATTTAATTAACAGCTAGTTTTGTTAGATTGATTAATTTTTTTATTTTAGTCACGGTTTAACCAGCATGCTGGAAACTCCGGATTATCTGCATGCTGGTCATTTGCAAAAATATGGTAATTTAATGTTAATTTGTTATCTTCAATATGTTTATGTTATTTCTGTGTCCATATATCTTTATCTTTATCCATAGCACAGTAATATCATTTGATCAAACTGTTATTTTTTTTGTTATGCACAAAGTTGAAAATGTTGCACATTTACTTTTTCTTTATAGTGCTTTAATACACTTTAGTTTTTAGTGATTTTGTTGTTATAATGTTTATTAACAAATATTTTTGAGAGAACCAACTTATTATCATCATATAAGACAACAAAATAGTATATACCAAAAAGAATAACTCATAGCTAAACTGAAAAAGTGAATCATATTATCTTAAAATTTTTAGTTTTTAATGACTTCAATATTGTAGAAGAGTTATATTTTCACAAATTTTATTATAATATTCATCATCTTGAAATATTACGGTTAGATAAGTATTTAAAAATTCAACAAACCTTGAAAGAAATAATTGCAAGACATCTTTGGTCATTTTGCTAAAATATTTTTGTTTGACGGCATGCTCTAAAACTAATAATGGTCCTTTAAGGTTATTTGGTGGTGTAAAACTTTTATCTTCACTCTGTAATAAACATATAAAATAATAAAATAAACAAAAAAATGTAAAAAGAAATATCATTAATTAGGTTAAAATAAATATTGGAAATATTACATGAAAACAAACATTTTCAAAATGATATGGTATTTAAGAAGAAACTTGGTAGAGCATATCCTACTTGGCTTATATACTGGTGCCTAGCATTATAACAGAACAAGGGTAAGTACAGAACAAACTGCTATTATGTGCTGTTAGTATACAGTCGACCCCCCTATAATGTGGGTTCCTATAACGGAAATTCCTATAACGTAGCGAAAAAATTGTAGCAATATTCGTATAAAGGAACTCCTAAGACATCGTCGTCGTCACCGACTCGTGTTGCGACAAGATTGATAGAATCTGGACCAACAGTGGATGAGCAGCCGAACTACTTTCCTCTGCCCTGCGCCACGCTACGGAGAGTTTAGGCGGCTAAATTGACTTTGCTATCGTCTGTACAGTATTATATATAAATTAGGTACTGTACATATAATTATATATTAATTATATATAAATTAGGTACTGTATATATAATTATATATTAACTTAATTTATTGTAACTTTATTATAATTATATATATACTTTCCGCCGTCTAGCGCCACGCTACGGAGAGTTTAGGCTAGTAAGTTGAGTTTATTATCGTCTGTACAGTATGTAAATTAGGTACCGTAAGTCTAATACAGCACTAATTTTATACATTTCTTGTGAAAGAAACATTTCTTATTCAACGGCCATAAAAATTATTTATATTAATGATGTCTCCAAAGGTCAAGTTATTTTTCTGCGAAAAATCCGTTATCAGATATCGTGCCCGCCGTTTCTGCGCTGTTCTGCGACGAAAACAAGCTTGAGCAACGGCATAGTCGAACGGTGCACACTCGGTAAGTAATCCTACAATTTTTTGTTTATAGCATAGTTTATATGGATTATTCCCAAAAAATTATACGTGTTTTGGAAATGTTGAGTGGAATTAGTCTAGAATCGGTTAATTTTATAGAAGAAAACCTTTCAAACAGCCTTAGTCCATAAACTTCACACGTGTCGGGCTGTGATTGGCTCATGTATTTAATGATTCCTACGTAAAATTTGATTAACGTGGAACGTATCTAAACGTTATAGGGGGGTCTACTGTATATATATATAAATCTGAGTTTAAGAATTTCTTGACACATGTTTATTATTATGGCAGCTTTCTGTAATGTTATGTTTTGCTATGAAGTCCTAATGTTTATGACTTCATAACAGAACAACTAATGTTGACTTTTGTGTAGTATGTGTTATGATGCTTAGTGCTATGCCGATAACCAATATATCAAACTGAAATTGATATACATTACGTCACAAAAGTATCTGGACACCTGTAAGATGCAAGAGCTTTTTTAGTTATAACTCATTTCTCACATGAAATGGGAAAAAAATAATGACTGAATTTTTATAGATTTACAAAACGCATTGATCAAAACAAACTCTTTTGCAAACTAACCTTTTCTGCTGTTTTTCTTATATACACAGCTTTTATAACCACTTTTTCTTAAAATTCTTCTCACACTTTCTGTAGATATTCATACTCCAAATTCTACAGAAGTCTCAGCAGCAAGCTTAGGTGCACTTATTCATTAATTTTTTTTAGTTTCCTGATAATGGATTATTTCTGTCTCAAGGTAAATATTTCTGGGTGTCCAGTTTGAGCCTTATTTACTACACCGTTTGTTGTTCTGAATTTCGTAATTGTACCCTGTATTGTGGACTTTGGAACGTGGAACTGTTCTGATAGATTCTGTACAGATTTTCCCTTTTTCAATCCCTTAATAACAAGTTCTTTAACAAGACTGGTTAACTCTTTTGTTTTCATTGTATATAATGAGAAAATAAAACAGTTGAAGTATCAAACAAAAACTTTAACTAACTTGCTGATGCAAATTGTTGGAGATGTTTTTATGATGACACTTCTATCATTTATTTCCTCTGTCCAGATACTTTTGTGATGTGAAAATTTTCACAATTTGAAATAAAATTATATTTTTCTTTTTGATTAACTTTTTTTGCATATTTAAATATATTTTCTAGTGTAAAAAAGTCTGAGGATTTCAGATTTGTCGTTATTTTTTTTTCCTATTTCATGTGAGAAATGAGTTATAACTAAAAATCTCTTACATCTTATGTGTGTCCGGATACTTGTGACAGTGTATTTTTAGAATATCAGTATGCCAAATACTGATACTGAATTTGATATATCAAAGAAATTTCAGTATCAAGCCCAATATCAATAATGAAATTTTGTACAAGAAAGGACTACAATAAGTACTTTATCCATTCTCCACAATGATTTATTTCATGGACAAGTTTTGAGTATTTACTAATTTTTTTTCAGTATATATATTTTGTATGTTGAGTGTTTGGAACAGCAATGTCTATGACGTATGTGATTTTGTTTTGTCTGTGATTAAATCTTAATCATAGTACATTTTGTGTGAGTTGTTTTCTACAACCTGAAGTGTGTATTTGTTCTATGGTTCTTAAGGGTATAGTAGTTTGTGTTTGTAAGGGTATAGTAGTGTGCAAGCATTTGATGTATTATATTTTGTTACTTGGTTATATTAATATACCATATTTTACAGCATATAAGATGCAACTTTTTTCCAAAAAGGAGGACTGAAAAAGAATCACTAGTCTTAGGATGTATCCACATATTTACTATTTGTTAGCAGTTTGTCACTTGACTAGTGCGCGTGCACACACATTCAATTATTTACTGAGCAACAGTTTATTGCATATATCAGAGGTCGGCAACCTTTCAGCAGCATTGTGCGGAACGTAAGTTATAGTGTTATTCCAAGTGCTGACATGATTCTACCAAGTTTATTATATATGTTATCAAAATTAGTCTGGTTATAACAGACTTCAAAAATGTATAATTTTGAACTTTAGTCATTAATTGAGTTATGTTCTTACATGTGAAGTGCTTGCGCAATGTAGATGGTGACATGGAGTGTAAACACATGTGCTGTAATAGAAATATACAAAAAAGAGATTCATTTTTAATGTACCACGGCCTTTGCTGAAACTATGACTTCCATTTAAATATGTAATTAACAATTAAAATATAATTTTTTCTACATTTCTATTAAATCAGAGTACCACTGAAAATCGTCATGTGTGCCATGTTTGGCACACTTGCCATAAGTTGCCAACCCCTGGCATATATGATGAATGCTTATTCAAGATCTAGAAATTTCAATTCAATTCTCAAACAATAATTTGTGCAGCTACATTTATAGTTATGAGTTCATATCTGTTAATGAAAAATAGCCTTCAGTAGGCTATATATAACCTCTACTACAGGGATCGCCAAAGTGGTTGATATAACATTATTGGAAGGTTGATGCAGCAGAGAGTCAATTGAAAAATTGAAACTAAAAATCACAAATATAACTATACATATTATTATGTTTTTAAAAATCGCTTTAATGAATTTAATAGTACAGCTACCCGTCAATGTGTAAAATAGTTACGGACCAAGTCACACAGGACAGATGGACCACCTGTCCACCCTATTGTGGGCCTAGCCAAACCCATAATGGGCTTCCAGTTCTTACATAATATGTATCAAGCATTTTGCAAGCTTGTATCTGATTCGCAGTATGCTGATGTTATTAGCACTTCTATAGCCATTTTTAAGTCATTGTTTGTTAATTTTAGTATTTCATATATATATATATAATAAATGTAAAAAATGTAAAATTAAAAGAAATGTATTAAAATAGTAAAAGCTTCTTTTTGCTTATAACACCAACTTTTTGGTGGGGATCAATGCGAGTTTTTGAAAAGTTGTAGGGAATCAACGATCAAAAAATGTTTGGCGACCCCTGCTCTACTAGTCCAATTCTCAAATAAAAATGCTATTGTTTAATTAAACATATATTAGTATTATTATTTACTACAGTATAGCTAAGTAGTTTTTGCATGTATTCATGTAGAATATTTTAGTGGTAAATTATAACTGTAAATGACTTCTTTTCAATTCCATCTTTTTCCGTGATAAATAGTGTCCCAATTTTGGAAATGTGTGAAAAAAGTGTCTTAAATTCAAAGGAACACAGTATTATTACTGTGTTCCTTTAGATTACAACAATTTATCTTCATTTTTGAATGGATTTTTAAATCAATTTAGTAAACAACGAGAAATAATGCGAACATTTGGACAAATCTATGGATTAAATGTTTTTTCAGATGGGATATTATATCAATATATTAACATAACAAAAAAAATATCACTGAAGTATAAATGCCTAAAAAAGAAAATACCATTAACAGTAAATTTAATATTGATGTGATTAAACATTTAGTTCACTGGTAATGATGCTTGATTTTTTCATGCATTTATACTGCAACAATTCTTTAGGATATATTTATTATTTACATATTATAATAGAGAAAATTAGAAATTATCATCATCAATACATTAAAGAAAAACATATACATGCTTTATTAAAATACATACTTTAATTAGTCCCAAATGCACTAATAAAGTGTTTGTTAATAATGGTACAGTGTTTTTCTCTTCTGCTTTTTTGAAAGCTTTTGAAAGAATTTTATCTGCAATAAAAAAGTGATTCATTATTAATAGAACATATTTTAAAAATAATAGTAAATATATTCATAAAGATTGTATAATATAGCCTGATTGTTGTGCAAATCAGACTAAAAATATGTCAATAAACTTATCAAAAATTGGAGATAGGTAAATATCAATGTATTATATAGTAGATTCAGTAAGAAGATTAACCAGGATGACAAAAATGCCTAAGAGCATGGCCATCTATATAGACAATCTCGGTGAAGTCAGTGAAAGGGTAGCTAGATGGCATGCTATGAGTCATTAAGTCATCACAAAATTTCTTTATGAATCCATCTACTTTACGGGCTGTTAACCAGAAATTGAGGGAAAATAATACACTTTTCTCAAGTGTCTTGTTTATCAACAACACGAGTAGTTATATGTATTATTCTCTTCATGTTTCTTTGAGAATTTAATACAGTAGGACAGTCACTTTGGCTAATTAGTGACTATGTCAAAATGTAAAAGAACAGTTCTTTTTCATTGAAACAAAACTCTTAATAGCAAACAAAATTGAAACTAGATTAATGGTAAAGTTGTTAATGAACAATTGCAATGTTAGCAACTTTTCATTAAGTGAAAGAAAATGGAAGAAGGAGGAAAAATTTTTTTGTTTTCATATTTTAAAAGAAACAGTAGGCAATTCGTTTCTTTAAATTTTCTTTGATGTGACTGCAATATTCCTATCCTCATTGACTCTGATGATGGGGTGGCACAATGTTCGAGTCACCGATTTCAATCGAATCCAATATGGTTACAGTGCTTCCCCGATAACCAACATGTGCCAAGCAGCAAGGAACAATATTCAAAATTAAACAAGAAAATTGAGATTACAAATTGTAAATCACTCAAAACCTATTAGAATTTCCATTGTTTGTAGAGTAGCTGGTGGCTCAGTGGGAGTGCACCGGTTGGTATTTTGAATCTTGGTGGTATCAATGTTATTTCCCCCTAAAACTATAATTTTCATTTTATTCTTGATATTTTTAAATTTATTATATGTATTTAAGAATTATTTTCAAATATTCATGTACAGTACATATGGGATTCATATTAACATTTATTTATAATTTTTGGAAAAAGGATTAAATATAAAGAAAATTATTATTATTCAAGGTCAAGTTTGTTAATAAGAAAGACATTTTTATGATTATTATTCAACCTGTTTGCTTCCTGGGAGCATAATTTTGTGGATGATAATTGTCACAGAAGCATGCAAAATATAAACATTTCTGCAGTGTGCACAATGAATTAATGCAGCTGTAGAACACATTGCTATGCTATTGACGTTAGCAGGAGATATCAAAATCACCTTTTCGTTCTTTACAGACACATTTAGGTTAAACAATGACTTTGTTGCCACTGTAAGTATGAACTGTACAAGAATATACAGAAAATGTTTTGTTTTTAAATAAATATTGTTAAGTAGCATTTGTTAATTGCTTTTGACATTGACTTGTTACTTGAAACAGATGGATTTTATTGTTTTATTACCGTTTATTGTGCATTTGGAGTTTTCTAAAACTAAACAGTTTTTCTCTCTGACAGTATAATAAATTTAAAAATACCAAGAATAAAGCAAAAATTATAGTTTCTGAGGGAAGAAAACAATGATATCATCAAGATTCAAATTACTAACCCCATGAAACGGGCATACTCCCACTGAACCACTCTACAAATGACATAAATTCTAAAGGATTTAAGTGATTTAAAATTTTTAACCTCAATTTTCTCCTTTAATTTTGAGTATTGTGCCTTACTGCTTGGCATGTGTTGGTCATTGGAGATGCACTATAACCCCACAGAGTTTGATCAAAACGGTGATCTCCAACGTCATACTGTCCCTTTGTAAGTGCAAATTTTGCATAATATCTAAATATTTGATGTTTGTTTTACTTGTTTCATTTTCTGGACAAGTTTTAAATAGTACTGGATAAACCAGGAATTCATAAACTGGGATTAACCATTTTACCATTCATTCCAGATAACCAATTGTATATTATCTTATGAAATGATCCAAGTATCAAAGTGACAAATTGAAATATTATCTACAGTTTGGAGTGGCTTGCCATTAAGAGCACAAAGTTTAATTATCCAAGAACGGTGAAGATTAAATCTAATGCCAGGATAAAAATTGTAATTAGATGACTTCAAAGAAATATTTTAATTTTCTAATCTATTTACAGAATCTCTAAGAAAAATAATCTGATATATTTTATATTTAAATTCTAGTTTCATTTATTTTATTATGTGAATAATGTAAATTACTAAGAAACTGCTGGAATGAAGTGCTTATTCAGTCTTACAATATTTAAAAAAAAAAAAAAGTTTTGAAGTTTTCTTATAGCTTTTGGAATATTTTTGAATATGCGTAACATTATATTTTATTTTAAAAAATTTATACCTTTGAAGATGAATCGTTATTGTGTCTACAGAAATAAATCTCTCTCTATGAATGCAAATCATCCAGTTACTTCAGCTTTAATATGACAAATCTTAGGGTGCGACTATGCAGACGCGAATTTAGAGCGAGCGAGAGGTTGCGAGCGATTTAATTTTCGCAAAGGAAAACCATGCACAAATGAGAAGCGAGAAATAACTCTGGCGAGAGCGAATTTCTGATTCTCGCACATATCTGACAGGTTTTGATATTTATCGCGTCTCGCCTCTTCTCGCCACATATTCTCGCTCGCTCGCGTCTGCATAGTCGCACCCTTAGACTTTCTAATGGCTCTCCACTTTAATCTTATGTAAAACGATGTTATTGATATACCAAAAATGACTAAATTATTGATATGATTTTGATGTATAAACATTTAAGTCAAATCATTTTACTAATTAATTAATTAATTAAGTTAAAATTTACTGCTGGAATTAAATTAAGTCTAAGTTCCATTATGGGTCATTTGTTTCTTCCAAATGTTCTAAATTAACTGATTAACTTAATTTAACTCCAGTTATTAAATTTGACACAAGAATGATATCATTGCCTACTTTTCCATATTATATCTATAATATTTAATTTATATTTAAATATACTTTGGGAAACTATGTTTATATGTACATTTTCTACTTTTCCAATTAATTTTTTGAAATAAGAAAGGAAAAATTGGATTATTGCAATTTTAAGACAAAGATAATATCTTACCTGCATATAAACATGCAAAAATCTTTGCTTCTACATCATCAGGAGTTACTGCAGAAGAAATCTAAAATTACAATTTAATGAGGAAAAAAAAACTATATATTACACTTTAGAATTAAAAATTAAGAAAACATTAATTATTAATTAATATTATAGTTTCAATCACCCTGTATTTTTTAATATTTTAAAAATCCTGAACATTAAATAATAATATATTTAAAAAGAAATAGTTATTAATTCACATACTCCTTCATTGATTCTAAGATGCATTTTTTAAATCCACTTTTCTCGTCCAAAATAGAGGCATCTCTTGTAAATGATGGCATCTTACAATGAGAGGCCGAAACAACGATCGGCAATCATCACGAATAATTGCGATGTGTTATATAACATTAATAGAGGTTTTCAACTATACTGCTCAACAATTGCATCAATCCAAATGAGCTTTTCTAGTAATGAGCATTTACTTTAAACTCCTTTTTTAATGTTTAAAATATTTTCAAGACTTTGTTATGAATTATTAAAATGAAAATTTACTTTATATTCAAAAGAGCATGGAAATAAAGCACCAAACATCATTCATTTCGTGACTCTTGTATTGTTTTTCTAACTTGTTACTTAACAAAACTTAATAAAATTGATCATTATAACATTTTTCTCTTCATAAAAAAAAATCCTAAAGTTTACGATGCATCTTAGAATCCAAGAAATATGGTACAATGACATTTATCATACAAAATTTCATAAATATGAAAAAGATATGTAACTAACCTTTATAAAAGAACTCATGTATTCGTCTTCACTTAAGTCGTCCTGCAGTTATTAATAGATAATTAAATATATAATGTAATAAAATGTTTTATAAATAAAATTTTTTATTAATTTAATACAGTATTTACTTCATTTTTAGAATTTATTACTTCAACAAAATCTATATTATATTAGTTTTAATATAGCAACTACAAGATATAAGACAACAGCATAAAAAAAAAAGAAAAGCTTTCTACAAAAGACTACTTTCATCCCTTTTAAATATGACTTTTAGTTGATCAGATTTTGTGAAATGTTGTTTAAATATAAAAATTGTCTGAATTAATTTCAAATTTAAATCACACAATTTGATAAAGTTAGGACTTATCGCACCGGAATGCATCCGAAGGAGTGTGGCAAAATTGATCTAACAGAATTGTGATTTTGCAGAACGATTTAAGGTCGAGACTCCTTTGCAGCTGCCGACAAATCTGTTAAAACAGCTAAAAAGTGGTCTTGATCCAAAATGCATTCTGCAGGATGACAATTGTGTGTGATAAATCTTAAATTTATCAAACTGTGTTATTTAAGAAGTATGAAAATTAATAGGATAAGAAACTTTGAGTATAACATTCAAATCTAAACTTTAAATGAAAAGATTGTAATGGTAATTCTGGCAGAAGCTTAGTTACAAGAGAGCATAAAAAAAAAATAATCTACTATGAAATTAATTATTATTATTTGCTAAATTTACATATAAAAGCTTAATTACAATAATAAATTTCATAAAGTGATTCTCAATGATTGTATTTTCATGTGTATAATCAACAAAAAATTGCTAGAACAAAAACAAAACATTTACGTGACCTGCCTCACTGTATATCCTATACCCGTGAAAGTAGCTCTGTGGGCATGAACTCGTAACAAACTTAAAATTAGTGTATAAACTGTCCCATTGCATAATCCACATACCTTTTTACACTATCTTTTAAAATACAATTACCTAGACTTATATGAATGAAAACAGTAATAATTTACTTAAAATTTTACATTATTTGTATATTGTTTTAGTATCTTTCTACTTTTAACCAATATTTTTTATTGCCAGATTTCATTTTCATGCAATATTCCTGTTGTGATTTGAAATTGTATTGTTTCCTGTGAAGAATTTTTCACTGTTTTTCACTGTTTCTTTCTATGAATTGCCTCAGGTACTGCATTTTTGTGGATTGTCTGGCATATCGGTCTATCCAGGGAAACCACAAAATCAGATATTTCCATACAGTAAAAACCAGCATGCTGGTTTAAGTGAGGTTATACATCCATCTCTAGAGGGTGCATTAAAAAGAATGAATGAATTACATCATATAAAACAAACAAATTTTTATTATAAAACCATAAAACTGCCAGTTCATCAAAAAACTACGATTATATGTTTAATTTCTTCATTTTGTCTTCTTTCTAACATAAAATACTCGTGGAATTCCAAGAAAGTGCTTTTTTAATGTTTATTTTATTGTACAGTGGTACCTCAGGATACGAACGCCCAGTATACAAAATTTTCAGGATACGACATGAAATTCGAACATATTTATGCTCCACGATACGAACAAAAACTCACCATATGACGTTACATTAGTTCGCAGCACCATTTTTTATTCATTTCTGTTCATTGGTCTCAGTCCACGTTTTGCTGCGTTGTGGAAGGATCTCGCTCGATAAAGGAAATCTTGAGGTATTATCAGAAAGTGACTGATTTTATTGAAAAGAAACATCCCGAAAAGGTTCACACTGGCCGTATTGCTGCTCGGAGTAATGACATTTGCCTAAGTCATTTTAGAAACATTTTAAAAAGTAGATAAAGCCAAACCTCTTTGGATAGATATTTTACCAAGCGACCTCTATCCAGTGAAAGTGCTGGTGGAAGTGAAGGAAAGAAAGCAAAAAGCAGTGAATAAAAAAACAACACTAATTTTTTTATCTTTTCTAAGTTATTTTTAATTTATTGTTGCATTATGTTATGAAAGTTAAGTTTTAGTATCATTTTCCTTCTCCCTCTCTTCTGCCATCAGTTTATACCTCCACTGTCGTCTATCCTCAAAGGTAAAGTGCAAATAAAACTACATTTTTTTTATTATTATTCTATTGTGGTTATTTATACATTTACAACTACAAAATGCATTTTTCAGTGTTTTCCTTACTATAGTTTTTTTTTCCAATGTACTAATTAGCTTTAATTTGAGTGTGTTTTTCATGTTTGAACGAATTATTTGGTTTTACATGTAATTGTATGGGAAAAAATGATTCACCTTATGACATTTTCATGATACGATCTCAGTTTCGGAACAGATTAATTTTGTATCCTGAGGTACCACTGTAATTTGATTCAAAAATGCAAAAATAAACATATTAAATTATCTCAACTTATACCAATTTACATGGGAAATTTGAGAGGAAGGTGTGATTTTTAAGGTTGGGATAGATGATCAGTGCAGCCCAAACTAACTAACTACTACTACTACTATTTATGTCAATTAGCCACTAATTGTTTCATTGTCCAGTAAACAAAAACCTTCCTGATTTTAAGTCAGTCAAATTACAATGTTATTATTTTATTGTACTTGGAAGATGTTTTCTTTAATGTTTAAACTAGTTTTTTTAGATCCAATTAATTTAATATTTTAATCAGTTGCAGTTTAATCAGCATGCTGGTCTCTCGTTTATATGTGGCATGCCAGGTCATTCTATGAAAATGTGGTAAGAAGGAATATTATACAGTATTTTTATTTTGGTTAGACTGCATTGAGAATTGTTAAGCAGATTGAAGAATATCATTACACAAAGTTAGATAACAACTTATATTTTTCACCATATTATTTTTATGCATCACTCAAAATTTCTTTTTTGTTTACTCAAAACACTCTCTTCTCACCATTTTTCAACATATAAAAATATATTATTGTAAGTTCAGATCTGTGTAATTAATGCTATTGAAAGTTTAAATTGTAATTTGTAACTAACCAGTTGTTATTTAATCTTAGAATCAAAGTAATGAATTATTAAATATTTTGTATTAACATAACAAATTTCTTCTATGAAAACTCAATTTAATATAATACCATATGTAAGAAACAAACTTTAAAAAGGAGTAAAAGTGACAAGCAGATTGAGAGAAAACAACTTTGGAATAATTTTGATAGACGGACAAGAACTGGTTCTCTTCTCGATGTCTTGCCTATAATTGGTTGCCTGTATTGTTGGGAAAACAATAATAGGCAAGACATCAACCAAGAACCAAGAAGAAACTGAGGGACTGATTAAAGTTGATTTAGAAGTAATAGAAAAGGATTGGAAGACGATACTTGAAGGAGGATTGTGCAAAAATAGTAAAGAATGGAAGGTTCTGCCTAACATGACCCGCGCTGAAAAAAAAAGATAACAATGACGACTTAATAATTATTATATTTCATACAGTAGACAACTTCACTTAGTATTAAAAAAATAAATAAATATAAAATACATTTTTACGATACTTACACCAATCTCAAATTCATCAATTTTCAAGCCTAATTGTTGGATTTTTTCAGCTGTTGGCGAACCGAAACTTTTTTCCATACTCTACAAAAATAATAGAAATATTGAGAAATATATATATATATAAACCACTTTATAAATGAGATATTAATGTAAAGTATAATTTATAAGAATAGTTATTCATTTCAGCTTAATACATTTGGCATTGACACTGTAATCTGATAACTGTGTTAAATGTGTGCAGAACATTTCAGATATTAAATGGAATAAAATCTAATTTTCCAATCCTACATCAGATCTGTATTGATATTGTTTATTGTTATAATCATTTTAAGAAAAATTATAAATTCTACAATCTGTTTTTAATCTTAAATTTTCTCCTGGAAGTTAAATGCAGAGAAATTTAAGTGTCGCTTGGCCAAATCCATCTTGTCTTTCATATTTGATGTTCTAATGCTTATAATTTTCCGAACTGGGATCTGTAGACCAGTTCCAGAGTCCGCAATGTATTCGGAAAGTATCTAGTCGTCATGTAAGTTTATTTTCCTCAAAATATATTGATAGAATAAAAATATAAATAAAGCTGAATTGTTTTGTATACAAAACTGAATATTTTTTTTAAAAATGTTTACAAAATTACACAATATATTTCTTACTTTTCAAGAAAAGAAATTTTTTTTATTAAAACAAATGTTTTCAGCCTCTTTTGGAGATCAGCTTCTAGTTTCAGTTAGAATTGCAGCAGACATTTCATTTGTAATACAGTAATACCTCGACTTACGCGAACCCAGAGTTACGCGATTTTCAAATCTTGTCGATTCATCTTTTGTTTGAGCACCACGCAACTCTTGATTACTCACTCCCACCACACTATTGTTCAGCTTACATGTTCGGACGTGTCGCGCGGAATCGACGCACAGCTACAATTTATTTTGTGTTATTTATTTCTGTGTTTGTTATATCTACGGAGACTTCAGAGACTATATGTGGTGATTTCTTGTAACCTTGAATGAATCAAAAGACAAGATAAGATTAAAGAGAACATTTATTAGCTTACATACATCCAACTTGGATTTTACACAAATTGCGAAATTATACCCCGACTTACACAAATTCGACTTAAGTGGTTATTGCTTGGTCCCACCTATCGCGTAAGTTTGGGGTATTACTGTAGTTAAAACCGAAGAAGGCCCCCCAGAAGAGACAAAAAAAGAAAAAAATTTATTAAAATAAAAGAATTTTCTTGCTGGAGGAGTGAGAAAGATATTGTGTAATGATTTGACAGTTCCAGATTCAGAAGAGTTATGATAAAAAAATCTTTATACACACAGCTATATGCATTTATATAGTAAAGCATCAAAAATCTGGACTGATTGGGACCAGACCTTGTCTGGATTTTTGATTTCTCCAGATTACATAGGTGTAACTTAGTTTTAAGTACTATAAACTCCAAATATGCTGTAATTCAGGTTTAGATATTCAAGCCAGTATTTCACAAGGAATGTAGAGATACTTTCTTACAAAGATTCAAAATATAATTTACAGAATCACTATACTTAAACAACTTAACAAATAAATACCAAAAACCTAAAAACCAGCAAAAGTTTTAAAAAATGTGAACATTTTTGTCTGCGTTGAATGGACATCATCAGGCAAACAACAGCTGAGATAAATGGGGAATTCCTGAACACGTGTGTAGGGGGAGGTGACGTATGACATAAGATGAGAGAATGGGGAGGGAAGGACAGTTAGAATTTATATATCATTGAAAAACTACCATGGGGTGGGGAAGGAGTCAACATCACGAAAGTTAATGGCTGTGCTACTGCAGGTGACCTAGTATATTTCCACTTGCTCCAGATGCTTAAGGAAAGGTTGCTTAGATGTGTTATGTAATAGGAATGCCTCGTGGAATCAACTTGAATGTCTGGGTCGGAGGCATAGATAGCCAAAGCGGCGTCGGCCAAACCTGTTTTGATAAACGTATGCTGCTCTTTGAGCTGGGTATTTAAAGGGTAAGTTGTAACCCCTATGTATTGTAAGTGGCAGTTGGACCTATGATCGATGATGGGATACTGTAGATGCCTGGTAGGTGGTGCCTGTCAAGATGGTCTTTAGCATTGTGGAGGAAGGAGGAAATTGAGGGACTACTATGGAAAGCTAATAAAAAGTTATTTCTTCTGAAAATTTCTTTGAACAGGGTGGCAAGCTTCTTGTCTAAGTGACAGATCTGTACTTTATATCTTGGGAGTGATTTAATCATGGAGTGGAAGTAATGTTGACAAATAAGACCCTGTATAGTGTGTGGGGAGTAGCCATGCTAGGTGGTGTAATGAGTGATAGTAAGGAGCTCCTCCTCTCTATCTTGTGTGTTAGATGAATGGGAGAGCACCCTTTGAACCAAGGCTCTGAATCCAACCATCTTGTAGACACTAGCGTAGTGAGGGAGGAGCAAGGGGATCTATCACACCCTGGGCACCACTCGCAGAGGGTCACCAAATGGTCTCCAAGACAAACAAGATTTGTTTCTGGAGGGGGGGCATCAATAAAGTGTTGTGCCCTGGGCGCCAGTTATGTTCGCTATGCCACTGCTTGTAGATGAACGGATCATGGAAAGAGGCAGGATAAAGGTTAAATGGTGGGTAGGTTTTCCATAAACATACCTACATACCTATTTACTCATGTTTACAGAAAACCTACCTACCAAAATAAAACTAATATATAGAAGTAAAATTGATTTAAAAAACTTTTCTTCAAAAAAATTGAAATTAAAAATTATTTTTTAAATCCAATTTTACTTCTATTTATTAGTTTTATTTTAAAATTTGTTTTAAACCTTATCCAACTCGTAATTTTTACCTATCTACAGCAATCTTTTTTAAACAAATTTTATCCAGTCAATTGCCCAATTTTTAATTTCAATTTGTATTTAATAATCAGCTATTATCAGATTTAAATGATTATGAAAAAAGGCAAAACTGGTGCATTTTTCATAATCATTTAAATCAGTTGAAGGCATTTCCCAAAGTGAAATAGCTCAAAGATGAAATAGAGCTAAGTCAACGATAAGCAAATTTACACAGCAAAAAAGTAGTTCAACAGAAAAGTCAAATTCTGGACAAAAAACAAAAGCAACTGCTAGACGACAAAGGCATGTATTTCAATTGGCAACAAAAAACCATCTTCCGATAGGCAAATAACAGAACGTTTGCAAGGTTGTGTTTCAAAATCAACTGTTCATCGCACTCTGTTGAAATCTGGAAAAGTTAAATTCAAAGGAATGAAGAAAAGACCTTGTCTTAAACCACATTACTAAGAGGCTAGGCTCACCTGGGCCAAACTTATTTTCAGTGACAAAAAGAAGTATAATTTAGATGGGTCAGATGATTTAAAATTTTGCTGGCATGATCTATAGAAGGAAGAACACTACTACAGGAAAAGGATTCAAGTTAGAGGATCAGTAATAGTTTAGGGGCTTTGGATTAAAGTAGCACAAGTAAATAATAGGATGAACTCTGTTGACTATCAAAATATGCTGCAATTTGTTACCACATGGCATCAAAATTTCTAGGAATTACATCTTTCGACAGGATAATGCCTCAGTTCACGTCTCTCGGTTATCCAAGGAGAGGTTTGCCAAGAAAATAATTCAACTTTTGGATTGGCCCGCATTAAGTCCAGACATAAATCTGATAGAAAATTTGTGGGGGATCATTGTAGGAATAACTATTGAGCTTTTTAATTCTAAAGACCAGATTCGTAATAAAATAACGATAAAACTTGAACTAAAAGGTTTTTAAATTGTCAACCATCCTTATATATCTGTCTCACAACAAGACAGATATATAAGGCTGGTCGACAATTTTCTAACATTAAAGACCCGAAGGCTGCAATTTACAATGCTTGGAACATAATTCCTAAAAGATTAGTGAAAATTTAATTAAATCTATGAAAGATCGAATATTTAAACTAACTAATTTAAATAGTAAGTTTATTGGTTATTCTCATTTTTTAAATATGTAATTCACTTGCGTTGATAATTTATTAGGATGGTAAAATCTCCTTCTGCCAATTTAAAGGAATATATATATATATGGAAGATATAACTCTAATTTTGTAGCATTTAATTCATGTAATAAACAATTAAAACAACATATGTTGATAATTATTTGAGATACAGTTTATATGTACAAATCAAACTTATAACACAGAAAAATCAGTAAAATATTTCAATAAAATATAAAACTTAAAATCTAAACTTATCACTAAATCTTATTAAAATACTTCTTAATTAAACATCATTTCAAAATTCATTAATAAACAATCCACTTTCACACACACATCAAATCATAATCATATAGAATATTCTAAAATGTTTACAATAACTTTATTTTAATTTCTATTCAAGTGATAATTTGCTGAAAGGAAGACAAAATAACTTTTACTTTATCATAGAGAAATAGTTATTAATATCAAATAATTACAAAGGATTTAATACTTCTAAAATACTGCAACTTGTATAGGAATAACTGTTGACTGTTTAATTCTAAAGATCAGATTTGTAATAAAGTAATGATAAAATTTGAACTAAAAGGTTTTTAACTACCACATTTGACCTACAAGTGCAAACTCTGAGCAACGAATTTTCTCATAATAATGCATCTATTACAAAAATATTCACGTATAGCCTTTTTCGTATAGTCGAAACAAAGGTGAGAGAGAAAAACTTGTGTTACTGGCAAGAATTTGGAAAAGTTTTTAAATGAAAAAAATGATAATTGAGTATTTGAGACCAGCTGTAAGCGGTTCTAATTTTGGAACAAAACAATTCTAGACATTAGGTCTAATCTTTCATTTTTATGATTTTGGAAACAAAATCAAAACACCAATTTTGAAATAATGGTACTACATATTACTCGTGCACATTCTAGCATTTTACTTTTTACATATTATGCCTTACGTTTATCTTAGTCTCAATAAATGTATGCTGTACTAAGTACACACTTAATGCCAATTATAAGTATAAATACAGTGGGTGATCGGTTAACGAACAGATCGGATAACGAACACCTTCGCGAAAGATTTTTATGTTCAGACAACGAACACCCCACAGAACAAACACAAGAAGAAGCGACGTAAAATAATGAATACCGATTGGTCTTCCATTGTCTTTGGGCAACAATTCGAAACTTTTCAAAGGTATGGGAGACATCTACATCGACGCTCAAGCCGGTATATACCGATCAGATAGTATTCCTTTGAACTTTGAAACTCTCTCTTGTAATTCCAGCCTTTTATTTTTCTGACAAAACAATTCTTTTATGTATTCGCGAGACTGTCGGGTAGGCACTCGTTAAGTTTTGCGTCTTTTTTTTTTCGAAAGGTGAGAGTATAATAGCAAAGGTAGAGAGTGGGCAGAAGATGCCTAATGTTGCTGGGCAGTATGGCACAAACAAGTCTACAGTAGGCCACAGTTCAATCTTATCTAAGAAAAATACTGTATAATCAAAAAGACTGAAGCAGCTAAAGGAGTAACAAAAATCACATCTGAGAAATAAAGAACATCGAACAGTTCATAATGGAACCTGAAACGGATCTGACGACAGAACGCCAAGAACTCTTGAATGAAGAACATCAAGAAACTCAGCGAGATGTTTTCTTTTGAAAAAGAGGATTAATACCGATATCTGTTATTAAAGATCCTTTGAAGAAGTGGGATGATGTCAGAACGACGGTCTTAGAATGGCATCCAAACCAGGTTGAGGCTTGGGGATTTCTACAATTGCAATGCTATTAATTACTTACAAAAAATCCTAAAGAAGTGAGAAGAGCAATCGACATTAGACAGATTCTTTAACCCTTTCAAACGGAAAAAACATGACTAATAAAAATGCAAAACTGGGTACTGTACATATGTATTTTTATTACTACATATACATAAACGTAGTAAGAAAGCAAATATTTTTCTTATTTTGGGGGTCTCCAGAATGAATTAATTAAATTTCCATTAAAACCTATGGTAAATCGATAATCGGTTAACGAACAAAGTTTTGGAACGGATTACGTTCGTTAACCGATCACCCACTGTATTCACTTATTGTATTAAATATGGTGGTACTTTATTTTTTGATATATTAATTTGATCACATTTAATCTGTATTTCTGAAATATTTTTTATAAACACATACAACTTCACATTTAATAATTACCATTCCATATTGCCTTAAATTGCAGTCAGTTATAAGTACTTGTGTCTACTTGTAAATAGAAAAAATAAATATAAAAAAGATGAATCGTGAATTCTAAGTATCATCATTGAATGTACAAGGTCTGTTCAAAAAGTATCGGACCTTTGGTCGGCAAAAATAAATTTATTGACTTTGAGGTACAAAACCCTAATCCCCTTCAAAGTAGTCTCCTTGGTAATGTATACACTTCTCCCAGCGTTCCTGCCATTGCTGGAAACACTGCTGAAACGCATCTTTTGGAATGGCCATCAGCCGGTCCGTCAGATTCCGCACGATGTCTTCTCTCGACTAAATTCGGGTTTTTTTAGCGGCATTTTCAGCTTGGGAAATAGCCAAAGGTCACACGGAGCCATGTGGAGAGAGTACGGAGCATGATGAACCACAGGAGTATTGTGTTTGGCGACGAAAGCCCGAATCAGATGCGCAGAATGGGCAGATACGTTATCACGATGGAGCTGCCACGTTTTGATCGACTACAGATCCGGTCGTTTGCGTCGCACTGTATCGGAAAGACGACGAAGGACCTCCTGGTAGTACTCCTTTGCGATGGTTTGGCCTTGTGGTGTGTACTCACGACACATCACCCCATGAGAGTCGAAAAAACTGTCAACATGACCTTTGATATTGCTGCGGATCTGCCGCGCTTTTTTTGGCCTCGAGGATTGTCCCCGAAAGCCTGCTGAATCTTGCGAATGGTTTACACTCGGGTATCGCCAAGGTTTTTGGCAAAATTTGATGTAATATCGCTGCTCACGTTGTTCAGTCATTTTCCAGCTTAGTGGAATCCGACGAGAGCGCACTACATGACCTCACTCATAGGCTGATTGCCAATGACTGACGCTTCCTGCAGGCGGGAAAAAATTCAGGGCTGTGCATGACTGTCCCCTCCACAACTCCACCAAAGGAGTCACTCATAGGCCGATTGCCAATGACTGACGCTTCCTGCAGGCGGGAAAAAATTCAGGGCTGTGCATGACTGTCCCCTCCACAACTCCACTGAAGGAGGCCTCGTGCGCATCATTGATTTATGCGGAAAAAAAAGGTCTAATACTTTTTGAACAGACCTTGTATATTTAATCTACTGAAAAACAAACGAGGTTCATTTGTGTGTCCAACCTCTCCATGGTTCATTATGGAGTTTAGAAGAAATTTTTTAAAATATTTTCTCAAGTTTCATTGTATTTGGGTGGTTAGTCTTTTATCATTTGGAGAATTTTGTTACAGTTGTTGCAGTAGAAAGATTTAACTTCACAAAGGTATGCAATGTCCACACAGTTTACTTAATTTGATGGTAGTTAGATTATAATTTTCAGCGTTATTTGTTTATTTCAAGCAACGATATTTTATGTTCTTAATCTTCAAGTATATATCACCGATGCCAATTAATATTAATCACTATTTTTAATACACTTCTGGAATTCAAATCAGAAAATCATGTTGAACCCTCCACTGAAGAAAGAAATTTTACTGATATGGCTGTTGAGTTGATTCAAATGAAAACAAGAATTGCTACGATCAATTATAAAGACACCAACACACACACAAAAACAACAAATACTTTATTACAAATATATAGGTTTATCTATAGATTAGATTCAAACCACGATTAGCAGAGAGAGAGGGGAAAAAGTAAGTCCTCTTATCACCACTCCACCAATGGAGAACTGGATAAGTAGCACGAGGTAGGTACTTAAATGTAGGTAAGCGTCAAATTTGCAGGCCATTTTTTGGCACTCAGAGAGGATAGACACAAAAATTAACCCCATTTTCATTTTTTAGAAACATACATCCAATTGCTCTTAACAATAAATCATCATTTATTTTGTGTATGAATTGAAAGTTCTCTTGTAAGAAGGAAATTTTTACTCACATTATATAACTCAGGAATAATTCTCTGCTGTCCACATTTTTAATTAAGTATATACATTATGTGTCAATGTATTAATGAAAATATGTAAGCATAGCACTACTGCAATGAATGAGACCTGCTTTATTATTTTTCTATAGTGTTATCATCAAGATATTTAATTTTCTTGCCATTCATAGTAATCAAAAAATAATCTCAATGTTCAAAATATGCATTTTCTAATCATTATTATTAATTACTTTTATAATTAAATCAGTGATTCTTAACCTTTCCTGCTGCCCACATTCCTTGAATTTTTAAAATACATTATTGCACTGTTATGAAAAAATTCATTAAGCCTTTTTTATTTTAGGTAATTTTATTTCCTTTGGTGTATTTTATTCTAATTTCAGATGCAACTTAAGCAATTAAAAATATTCATCTTTGCCCACTCATCAATACAAAAACATTTAGATCCACATTGTAAAAAATATGTAACTATATATTATAACCTGCAACTCCTGCCTACCATGATGTATTATACTATCATTTATACTATCCAAACCTTGGTCTTGGATAGTATTAATATAAATTCTTCACTTCCAGACCTACATTAAGCTATGGCCAATTTTTTCTTCAAGAATTTTCTAAATTATTTAATTAAAATTTAAAATTAATATTTTAAATTTTAATATAAAATAACTTAACCAGATATCTTTAGGCTAAATTAATTAACAATTAACTTAATTGTTGCTCAAAAATATTCTGGCTTTAGGTATGTTCAGCTATTAAAAATTTGCTTATAACTAAATTTGAATTTAACAAAACTTATACAGATTAATCAAAATGCTACAATTTTAATTAATCTGTACAAGTTTTGATAAAAAAAAAAAAAAAAGGGAGAAAAATCTCTCTGATAAACTTCAAAACGTTAAAATAAATGATGCAAAAGATTCATATTTTGAATGACAGTATCCTGTTTTATTTCTCCAAACAATAATAATAAAAGAATTCTGATAAATTTAATCTTTCATATTTATCCGATAAATAAGCTCAGAAACATATTCAATTGTATTTACATTTTCAGAGATAACCACATTATTATTTGTATGTTTTTCGCTTTCTTCATTCTCAATATGATATTCATTTTCTTCTTCATAAATGTCATCTTTATCATTGTCATCCTCATCATCATCTTCGTCGTCATCGTCTGTCCCGTCATCATCCCTGAAAATTAAATTTACATATTTTTTTATTAAGGTAGAATTATTCATTATGTAAATATTTAAAATTATAGTCAATTTTTGTTGAAAACTAAAGGACTACTTGACATTTTCTGTACAGAGAGTTTTTTTATGACAAAAAATGGAGTGAAAAGATTCAACATTGTTCAATTTTTCAGTTTCTGTGACATGAACCAATCAGAGTGATTACTTTTGATTGGGCTGCAATTTGAAAAAATTGTAGACCTATAAATCTCTGCTGTTATCCATCCATTTGTCTTCCTTAATCTCAAGAATGGAGTTAGACAGATGAAAGACGAGATGAGATGTGGAAACCTTAGGGGCAAGAGTTTAACTATATATGAACTTCTAATGCAAACCAAAGTCATGTTATTTCAATTCAAAACTTTTCCCCTGAAAGCAGTTAATAGATGACTAGCACGACTCCATTGCTAATGGAAAAGTATGATGTACAAGGAAAAGACACTACAGAACTAATTTGAGGTGGAGAGAATTTAAATGAAATAAATTAAAAATATGATTAAAAATTGCAACCTGGCATAATGTCACAATTTATAATTGCTTGATACCACTGAAATTCCACTGGGAATGTCAGAGTATTTGTGAACCTACGGGGAATTTCGATATATCCTGCACCACTTTCAGGATGGTAAATATAAAGATTTATTGGTAAAATCTCTCTTTATCAGGATCATGACACCAGTTAAGATTATTATGCATCTCAACTCACGACAAGTATATTTCCAAGTGGATAAAATTTAATTTTAAACTTAACTGGAAATTAGGAGGTAATTTTCTTGTGTTCATGCATTACATGGGTTAATGCTGCAGTTGGGCATAAATCGACTGACAGATACAGTATGTTAAGAGTACAGTGAAAACTGCTTAGGCGACCACCCGCATTCGACGGGCACCTGCCAAAACGGGCAAAAATTTCTGGCACGGAATAGTTTATCCATAGAGTCTTCGTATAAGTTACCTGTATTAAACGACCACCTGCATAACGCGACCGCGGGCATCGATTTTTGGTCCGAAACAACATACAACACCTGTAATAAGCGACCACTTTCGCGAATGTATCTGGTCTAAACTATTGTAAGAACCCATCTCAACAACGTTTCCACCTCCTAATATAATGAATTAGTCTAAACTCTCGTTCGAACCCATCCCGGGCACTTCTCCCACCCTCGAAATTAGGTGCAGGTGTTAATAAATTAGTCTAGCAACAAAGGAAATTCATTTCAGTTTGTTGGAAAATGTCCGAAATGCAAAGTGCTGTCGTTAGAAGATCGTATTAAAGTTATCACAACAGCAATTAGCGGCGAAGTTTAACTGTGGGAAAACAAAATTTATTTTACCCTAGACCTACAGTATTTTCCTTGGGGGTGTAAAATATTGTACACGATACAATTAATCGGCTGATCTCATCGTTTGATAAAATCTATTTTTATTTATTTATTTTGAAGCTCATATACAGTACACGTGCGATAAATAGTTTCTGTATCAACCTACCTTATTTCCACGATATTTTTAGAAAAATAATATCCAAGTAATTTTCGCAGGCAAAATATTCAAAAAACAATAAACGCATTAATGCAAAAATCAGTTTTACTTCCTTTTTCGATTCCGCGATTGTAATGAAATCGTATAATGAGAAAAAATAATAAAATCGTTTTATTATTAATTAATAATTTTTCTTATTGTACTTAATTAATTAAGAAAATATTAAATATTAAAAAAAACAGTATTTTTAAAGTTAAAATAAGATTAAACTAACGAAAACCAAAAGCAAAGTGATGGAGAGATAGGACGCGCTTGTATATTGATGACGTAATACACGTAACTGAGGAGCGAACGAAAAGAACCGAGTCGAATTAATTAAGTCGGAAAAAAGAAAGTGTGCATTATAATCGAGAAAATGCGAGTATTGTATTAATCTTTAAAATATTGGTGTTAAATCTGTCTTATAATATCATGACGACTCCTGTAAATCGGGTTATCCGATAAGAATAAAATACAATACCAATATAGCCCTATCGTTGAAAAAATTCGCTTATTTTTGCTCACCTCGAGTTTTGCTTAGTAGAAATGGCTAAAAAGTGCGCAAAATACGTACGGAAATACGGTATTACAGCACCACCTGTATTGGACGACCACCTGTCTAAAAGACCACTTTTTGAAGGAACCGTGGGTGGTCCCCATAGACAGGTTTTACTGTATATCTATTAAATGATCTTAGATAATGGAGATTATGATATATGGAATGATTAAAGTTAACAATCAAATGCAAGGATATCTACTTCTAAACCCCTATTAAAGTCTATGCCAATGAGAGAAAGTTTACATAAAATGATAATAAGTCATATTACATGATGTTTACATATACCTGAGGTGGATAGTTAAGAATTCTTGGGAACACATACTTGGAGCAATGGGAAAGTGATGGCTAATGTCTCGGGCACTCGGTAAGGGCACCAAAAGAGAGTGATGGCTAAATCCTTGATGTATTTAAGAGTATCAAACAAATATAAGATTAGAGCAAGTAAAATGGTAACATTTATCATTTTATACAAAATCAAATCCAATAGTATTACTGGGGTGTCACACTATGTTTTTGACACGAGAAGGAAGTTGGGTGGTTTTGCAGATAGTCAAGTGGGTTACAGCACTCAAACTATCGTTTTAGGAGGAACTAACTCATCTTTCTCTCTGAGTCAGAGGAAGTTAGATAACTCTCTATCAAAAGTTGTAAAATTTTAAAATAATATTTTAACAAATATTTCTCCTAAACACCAGACAGATTCTAAAAAAAAAAATAATAAAATAAAATAAATTGTAGAAAACAAATGTAGCATGATAATTAGAAATATTAATAGATAATAGATGTAAGAAAACATCCTAAATCTATATAAATAAAAATGTACATGTTCATTTGTTCAAAATCTTAAATCTCTGAAAGTTCTTCACCAATTGCTTTGAAATTTGAAACAACATTGCATTCAAAGAAGCGCGTTTTTATATTATATAGATGTCAAAATCCCCCACGGCGGGGGAGAGGGACAAAAATTAAGGCTTACTGTGAAGATTGCAACTTCTATTATAATATTTTAGATGTGGTTTTTTTTGCATTTTTGATTGCGTTTTAATAGGGTACGTCAAGAAAATGTACACTAAGAAGGGATTTTTCAAAATCCCTCCGCAGTGAGTGTTATACATTTATAAGAGATACATTTTGAGTCACAGCAACTTGTGGCCAGATACAGCTAGTTATATAATAAACTCATACAAATGACAGAGACTCTGTGATTGCAATATTCACTATGTAAAAGGAATGGAATAAGAGAATGAATGGTAATTGAGATAATCAAAAAATTGATTAGCAATACAATATTCACAACTGATGCTTTACTTTTGAATAAACAAAGACACAAATTGCTCTGTATATATGTAACTACAGTAGCAGAGAAAATATGAAAAATTCAGAGAGAGAAATACACAAAAGGAAAAAGTACAGAAAACAAACGATTTATGAACACATGTCCATCAAATGAGAACAATCATATTACTGAAATTTTTATCTTCCAAATTTTTCTTTATCCTCAATTATAGATATATAGCCATCAATAATATGTATCAATTAGAAGTACCTAATGGATAAAAGTTCAAATGTTAGTATGGTTTCTATAGTATCTACTTTTTTGTCCATACATCCATTTTTTTCTGGTTTTGTAAAGTGAATTTAACTTAACAGATGTATAACTTATCTTTTCATGTTTTAAAGTGATTTTTAAACCATTGTTAAGACAGTCAAATAGACTAAAAACGCCAGAGTTGTCATAATGTATTCTGGAATATAAAAGTAGAGTTTAAAAAGTGAAACGATTTGTCTGTTTCACTTTTTAAACTTTATATAACTAAAGATGACATATCATTTTGCTTTATGAAAAATGATAATGGGTCATCTTTAATTATAATTTTGTTAGCAAAATGACAGAAAGTAATGATGTTTGTAAACAAGATGAAACATTGAATACTTAAGCTAGATTATCATTTTAAATGTATATTAACCCTCAAAATTCACATTGCAATAAAGAAAAGAGCAAGTGTTTTAGCCTGTTATCATTACAATTATCAAGTAATGTATCCTAATCATCACTGAAATTGACTGACTGCTTATCAAGAAAAGATAAACTTTTCAGAAGTTTATCTTTTCTTGAACAGAATATATAATAATAAATGCTAAAATAAACTTAAAAAAATAAAATATAAAAAATTTTAATGTCAATGACATTCATCAATGTGGTAAAAGTAAATTGCTCAGTTTCTGAACAAAACTGGTAAAACAACACCCAGATAAATATTAACATGCAAAATGTCTTAGAAGTTTATTATTTTTGAGTTTGTCCTTTTTTGTTGTATGCATTCTTTTACTTAAACTAATTTAAATATTGGCTGTTAAACGTTGGCATTCTTTTGTTTGATTTAAATGTAAATATTATACTGGCTCAGTTATTACACAGAAAGGAGAAATTATGTTTAACAGTTTTAAAACAAGTTCAAGTAGGAGTGTGTAAAAATATCAACTGAAGCATAGATTAATACACAGAAAATGAACAGGAGATAACTGAAGACAAGGCATAACTTTAATTTAAGGAAAAATCAAAATATCAGATAAATAAATGTCTGATCAATAAAGGATTTTTTTGTTTTCTAAATACAATATGCTCTTTATGACTTTAGATAAAAGAAAAGTTGTTTTAGGAGTTCATAACTGCATAATCAGCAGATGACCCATACCTGCTATGAAATGACTTAACACACAGATAACCTGCAGGTTCATCTGCATTAAATTGTGGAAATTGGTTTTATTATAATAGTACAGCTATAGTTTGTCAACTTTCATTATTCTATATCAGAGGTGTCAAACTGGCGGCCCCCAATGTATTTTTCGTGGTCCCTGGCCACAATGCTCTGAAATTAAATAAAACAGCTTACACATCAAGATTAATTGATAAACATCTATCTGACATAATGAAAATTGTTCTCAGTCTTTAAATCCAGATGTTGGAAAACTAGGAGAAGGAGGAAGATAGCACTGGCAAGTTTCTGGTGAAAACAATTAATTTTAGTTTTATAAATATGTACATTATGTGAGGCTCTGGGGAGGTCTGAACCCTTACTAAAATTTGCGTTAAAATAATTGTTTTAGTAGGAAATAATATATTAGTTAGAAATAGATTTTTATGATATGAAAACGCGACACTAACTTTTAAACAATAGAAGAATGTAAGTCCGTCGACCATTTCCGGTTGGAGATCGAATTAAACTTCGATTTTGACCTCTCCCGCGCCCCCGAAAGGCTTCGAATTGTCATCAGGTGACGAGGAGAGACCAATCGGTAAGGGGAATCTGAGAGAAAATGGATAAAACCCGACTTTCAAGGACGCGACGGCTTCTTCTCCCGAAAGTTCCAAGGGACGGATCTGTTGTTGTATGTGTGTCTCACACCCATCTTCGTCTCCATCTCCTGACCTCAGATCGACATCTTTCCCTCAACGGAAGTCGACCGCATCGTCCCGGAGTCGTCGAGACATGATGGAATGGTTCATTCGCGAACATGGGACACTCCTTCAAAATGGGACTATCTTGGAAAGGAGAGGAAGACCCAGAGGCCGCAGAACTTCCAAGATCGCGGAAATCTTGTAAGCTTCTTTCGTGTTTAATAAACGGTTGTGTTGTTTGTAAACGAAGCAACTATCTCTGACTCAACTGCTTCCACATGTCGTTGATTGTTACCGCTCGGCAATCCAAACGGCAAGGGAGACGATGACGATATATATCACATATTATCGTTCGTCGACTTTTTAAAATTTCTCTCCCCCTTGGCCCCCACAATTAAATAAAATAAATGTTTAAATAAGAGCAATACTATAGCAATTATGCATTGATGAGTTGAATTCACTGAACTACATAATGTGTTTTAACTGCCCTATCTATATTCCTGCATTCTCATTTTAAATTATAATTTTTTGAAAATTTGTAAATGTGATGTGGCCCGCACGAATCTTACCAGTCGCATTAATGGCCCGTTGTTTAAATGAGTTTGACACACCTGTTTCATATCAAATAATGATCAACTTTTAATCATTAAAAAACTCAGGCCTTAGTATAGAAAGTTAAAATGTTTATGGATAAAGAAATAGTTTGATTATAGTTTAACAAACAGATGTGAAAGTTCAAAGGATAATGGAGAATTTTGAACTACCGCATGATTAATATTTAAATTTAGGGATAACAAATATGAAAAGATTGCGCATTTCTAGTTTAAAACTTAATATTGCAAAATAAATTATTATACAAACCCTAACGAGCCAAGAGCTTCTAACTGTCCAATTTCAGTCATCATTTCTTGTATTTCTTTACATCCTTCAGTTCCAAAATTATTTCCTACAATTGAATTTATTTAAACATTAATGTAGATAGAATAGAGTTTAAATATAAAAGAAGTATTGTAAATATAGTCAAATCAAAGATAATTTTCATATAATACATTTGATAATTACAATATACTGTAATAAAATTTAAGATTTTATCATATCTATAGTTTAATATAGCAAACAAATAATGTTTAACAGCATCATAAAATTAATTTCTAAAAATAAAAAATAAAATTCTAAATATCATAACTTAAAACTTGCATTTTAAGTGCCAAAATCTACACATTCTACACAGTATATATATAAAATAATTAGCTTAAAACTGTCATGAAAACAAAAAATATAAACAGTAGAACCAGGAATTAATGAATCATCACAAAACTTTTCATCAGGTTTAATCTTAAATCAAATGAAGGCATGCCAAAGTTTAAAAATGTTTAACTGCAGAACATTCAAATTAAGTTAAAGTGAATGCATAAAACATAACAGACTAACTTAACAAAAATAAAATTAATTCTACTGCGCAACCATGAAAGGGTACTTAAGAACGCGTCAGTATTTGAAAGAGGCTTTTCCCCCCCCCATTGTGAGTGGTTTGTTTCAATTTTATAGAGATAAATAATGCCAAAGAAATCTAAATCAAAGTGGAGAAAGTGTGAAAATTGCAAATCAGTATTATGCATGAAAGATGTACAGCTTCATAAAGAGAAATGTGATGAGTTAAAAAATAAAAGCAATAAGTGCCTCATTTTGAATTACTGTTTGATTGATAATGAAAATCTATATGCTACTGTAATTAAAGATAATTTCCAGAAAGGCAATAAAGACCTAAGACTTCTCTCTAAAAACAGTGCCTTTCTTCATCCTTCAACTATGAAGATGTGCAACATATGTTTTGGAGACAGGATCACTTTGACTTCATCATCAGGTATCAGATTCATTGTACTGTTCTGCCAAAATCATCTCTTTCATTGACAACAATTTCCGTAATGAAAAATGACTTTTCCGAGGATTATAACAGAAAAATAATTTGCGTGAGAAAATATTTAAAATATCAATTGAAAGCAGAGTCTCTAACAATATTGTGTAAAAGTTCAAGCAGGAAAGTTCTTTTTTCTAATAGTTTTAAGACTTATTTTATTCGAAATTACAATAATACGTATGTAATATTTGGAACAAAATTATCTTTTCCATATTTTGGAAATATATACCAGTTAAAGATTGTAGATGTTATTGGTGAAAATTGTGATGATAAGAATAAGATAAGAAATTTTCCTGATTTTGTTTCTTTTAAAATGGATGCACTAAAATTAGAAGAATCAGTTGATGGACCTGATGTAAATAGTAAATTAGAAATTTCTAAAAGTGAAGAATATTATAACAGGACAGAAACAGATTTTAATTCAGAAGTTTCTGGAAGCAAAACATCATTATTATGTTCTACACCTTTGAACACATATAAAAGTTTATCAAATTTATTTACTGTTAAAGATTCACCTGTATTAAGGGATGATTATTTAAAGAAAGTTGAAGATGAAATTCAGTTTTATATGATAACAATGAAGACAAATATTATCAAATTTGTGAATGAGGCACAATGTTATTTTTATATACTTCGGATATAAAAATAACATTTGATAAAATTGGTGGTTTAAATCATCAGATTAGTCTACTGAAAGAAATGATATATCCGATAATATCTCCAAGATATTTCAGAATAAAAGGTGTGCAGTTGCCGAAAGAAATTTTTCTTCATGGTTCATCCGGTACAGGCAAAACAATGATAGGAAATGCAATTCCTAATGTATATCAAGTTAATTTTATTTTAATTAATACTGATGAGATTTATAGCCAATATTATGGAGAAAGTGAAGCCAAACTGAGAGAGATCTTTTCTGAAGCTAAAAGAAGAGCACCAAGTATTATATTTATTGATGAATTTAATGTTCTTTTCCCAAAATATCAAGATTCTTCTCAACAAGTTGATAGGAGAGTACTTGCAACATTGTCAACATTAATGGATAGTTTATCTTATGACATGGCAGATGTTTTTGTTATTGGTGCAACGAACAAGCCCGATTTAATAGATGAGTCGTTAAGAAGACCGGGAAGATTTGATAGAGAAATAGAGACTGGTTATCCTAATAATAAAGGTTTGAGATACTTAAAAAATTATTAGAAGATAAGAAACATTCCTTAAAAGAAGAAAATATGAATGAAATTGCTGAAAAACTTCATGGATACACTGGAGCAGATTTAAATTACTTGTGTAGAAATGTTTCTTCTATGGTAATGAAAGATCAATCAAATGATCTGGCTATGTCATTAAATCATTTTAATTTGGAAATAAAAAAGATGAAACCAAGTGCTTTGAAGAAAATGGATATTCAGATTTCAAAGGTTTATTGGCAAGATATTGGCAGTATGCATGAAGTAAAACAAAAATTGAAAGAAGCAATAGAATGGCCAGTGAAGCATCCAAAAATATTTCAAAAAATGGGAATACCACAAAGACATGATACATTGATGTATGGTCCACCTGGCTGTTCTAAAACAATGATTGCCAAAGCATTAGCTACAGAAAGTGGACTTAATATTTTAGCAACTAAAGGTCCCGAATTGTTTAGTAAATGGGTTGGCAAATTCGAAAGGGATGTGAGAGAAATATTTCATATAGAGAAAAACATGGCTCCTTGTATTACAGTCGACTCCCCTATAACACTGTTGATAATTCTGTTTTATAAGAATTCCATGTTGTATGAGTCACTTAGATTTTACAAATATGTGAGCTGTTCACAGCCCAGCACACACATTTGTAAAATCTAAGTGACTCGTACAACATGGAATTCTTATAAAACGGAATTATCAACAGTGTTATAGGGGAGTAGACTATTTTCTTTGATGAGATAGACGGTTTACCTGTAGCGTGTGGAAGTTTGGAAGGATCAAACGTAGGCGACAGAGTATTGATGCAGCTATTGATAGAAATAGATGGAATGGAGCAATTGAAAAATGTTTTCATAGTTGCAGCAACTAACAGACCAGATATAATTGATAAGGCATTACTGAGACCTGGAAGATTAGACAGCATAATTTATGTCCCATTACCAGATGCAAGTAGTCAGAAAGAAATATTAGAAATTGAATTAAAGAAATGGCCTACATCTTCTGATGTAGACATCTCATTATTAACAAAACATACAGAAGGATTTTCTGGTGTTGAGATTGTTGCATTGTGTCATGAAGCTAGCAGGAGGGCACTAAATGAAAATATTAATGCAGAAGAGATCACTTAGTCTCACTTCGTGCAGGCTTTGGAGTTTGTGAAACCATGAACCACAACAGAAATGATTGAGCGTTATAAATGGTATTTTGAAAAAGATAAAAAGCAATAAAATTAAATAATTCAATAAATAAATTTTATTATTATTATACTTTTACGTAAATCACAACATGCCCATACTGATAAAATAACACCCAAATAAATATTAACATGCAAATTGTCTTATAAGTTTATTATTTTTGAGTTTGTCCTTTTTGTTGTATGCATTCTTTTATTTAAACTAATTTGAATATCTGCTGTTAAACATTTTTGAACATTGGCATTCATTTGTTTGATTTAAACCAAATAAACTGGCTCAAAAATGTTAGTTTAAAAAATTGTATTGGGTTAGCCAAAAAATTTGTTGTTTTTTCCGTAAGATTTCTCTGGTAGTGTGACCGGAGGGTCGGCACCTCTCTGATGCTCTGTCGGGATAGACACCACCGTGTCTCAGTTGACACGGAAGCCGTGGCGATTTGAAAATAGGTCATGCAAGTGGTCACGTTACTGAGTGATCTGATTCGTGATGGAGTGAGAGAGAGACAGTGAACCGAAAGTGACTATGCAGAGAGTAGGCTAACAAACCAACATTTAATTGTTAACTGAGACATTAAACTACAGGAAATGCGTTCCTCGTTAAAGAGAAAAAAAATTGCTTTCGCAGTGAGAGAGAGAGTTTACATAAAAAATCGCGTGATGATAGATACCTGATGTACTGGTGGGTTCCTTGGGCTGGAATGACCTTGATTTCCAGAATGGGTACAATGCTTGTGAGAGGTAACATCAATTCGATGTTCTGTTAGGTTAATCCAACATTCTGTTCAGTTTTTGTTCAGTTCTGTTATGTTAATCCAATGTTCTGTTCAGATAATCCAATCTGGGCACTCCCCACGATTGAAGAGGGTGATTAGGCAATCCAATATGGAAACAAATAGGTGAATGGGCCAAAGGTGAGAAGTACAAAATATTCCAATCAGGTAATGACTAAGCTTTCGAAGAACGGGTGACAGCACAGTTGGCAGGATGAATGACGACTGCCCCGAAAATCAGTCTGTTGTTATATTCACTTGACAAACTTGCAACAATAGGTTGGAAGAATATGAGAAAGTGTCCCTTAGTGACTGATAACTTGTCGAGTGATTAACTCCCAGGTGTGAAAGTTGACATTTAAACGATAAAATGGTATCATTAAAGATTTAGGTCAGGCCATAGTCAAATAAGTAAACAAGACTGAGTCTCATAGTAGCATTTAGTTGTCTTTAACTTCATTTGAAACAATTTTGTTAGATTGTATTGTGACAGCAATACAATTTAACAAACTGTTTTACTTCATGCATACTGCCAATATCTTGCCAATAAACCTTTGAAATCTGAATATCCATTTTCTTCAAAGCACTTGGTTTCATCTTTTTTATTTCCAAATTAAAATGATTTAATGACATAGCCAGATCATTTGATTGATCTTTCATTACCATAGAAGAAACATTTCTACACAAGTAATTTAAATCTGCTCCAGTGTATCCATGAAGTTTTTCAGCAATTTCATTCATATTTTCTTCTTTTAAGGAATGTTTCTTATCTTCTAATAATTTTTTAAGTATCTCAAACCTTTATTATTAGGATAACCAGTCTCTATTTCTCTATCAAATCTTCCCGGTCTTCTTAACGACTCATCTATTAAATCGGGCTTGTTCGTTGCACCAATAACAAAAACATCTGCCATGTCATAAGATAAACTATCCATTAATGTTGACAACGTTGCAAGTACTCTCCTATCAACTTGTTGAGAAGAATCTTGATATTTTGGGAAAAGAACATTAAATTCATCAATAAATATAATACTTGGTGCTCTTCTTTTAGCTTCAGAAAAGATCGCTCTCAGTTTAGCTTCACTTTCTCCATAATATCTGCTATATATATCATAAGCATTAATTAAAATAAAATTAACTTGATATACATTAGGAATTGCATTTCCTATTATTGTTTTGCCTGTACCGGATGGACCATGAAGAAAAATTCCTTTTGGCAACTGCACACCTTTTATTCTGAAATATCTTGGAGTTATTATTGGATATATCGTTTCTTTCAGAAGACTAATCTGATGATTTAAACCACCAAATTTATCAAATGTCATTTTCATATTTTTATATCATTACCATAGAAGAAACATTTCTACACAAGTAATTTAATCTGCTTCAGTGTATCCATGAAGTTTTTCAGCAATTTCATTCATATTTTCATCTTTTAAGAAATGTTTCTTATCTTCTAATAATTTTTTAAGTATCTCAAACCTTTATTATTAGGATAACCAGTAACATTTTTAGCATATTATGTTTTATTATTTCAAGAAAGGAAAAATGCAACTAAAACACACAAAAAATTTGTGCAGTGTATGGTGAAGGTGCTGTGACTGATTGAACATGTCAAAAGTGGTTTGTAGAGTTTTATGCTGGAGATTTCTTGTTGGATGATGCTCCACAGTCAGGTAAACAAGTTGAGGTTAATAGCAATCAATGTCCAACGTATACAGGAGATAGCTGACATACTCAAAATATCCAAATCAAGCATTGAAAATCATTTGCACCGGTTAACAAAATGTCAAAATATCTGCTATTTTTTTGTTTTCACAAGTTTGTCAGAGCTCTCTCTCTCAGGTTTAATAGTGCAGTAGAGCATCGATTATCTGAATCAATTGGGGACTGGGGTTGTTCAGAAAATCAATTTTTTGGATAACCCATCATGTGAGAGCCGAGAGGGTATGACTATGTCGTACCTCCGTGGATCGGCTTTCAAGTCGGAGGGACTTGCTCACTTGTCAGAGATGGCTTAAATTTTTAGTTTATCCCGAGGGAATGGGACTAATTTTTTTTGGGTCTGATCGAGTGTAGGAGGGAGGAGTGCCATCAGTAAGATGACAGGCGATATATGAGTAAAAGAGGACACCAATTTAACATGGTAACGATGATTTATTAGCTATCTATATAGACGGTACAATAACGATTATCGAGGGAAAATTCTGAGTTCCTAAAACGCAAAGGGCTGAGAGAGAGTTCACAAAGATTTGTTCCATACCTCTTTTTGTTGATAGTTCTCTTTTTCGGAAAATAATATTATACGTAGGACACAATACAGTGGTACCTCAGGATACGAAATTAATCCGTTCCGAAACTGAGATCGTATCATGAAAATGTCGTAAGGTGGATCATCTTTTCCCATACGATTATATGTAAAACCAAATAATTCGTTCCAACGCGAAAAACATACTCAAATTAAAGCCAAGTAATACATTAAAAAAAATAACTGTAGTAAGAAAAACAAATGAAAAATGCGAACTAATGTAACGTCGTATGGTGAGTTTTTGTTCGTATCGTGGAGCAAAAATATGTTCGAATTTCATGTCGTATCCTGAAAATTTCGTATGCTGGGGCGTTCGTAACCTGAGGTACCACTGTATATAAAAATAGGACACAGTATTTAGATGACAGTTGATGAACGACTCCCCTGAGAGGGGGAAGCAAGTGGCTTTTATAGTTTCATTGTAGAAAAATGATCATGCGATTAAGTGTTGTGAGGTAAAAGGTACGTGGATGGGTCAAAGTTGTCCTCGGGACCATGCTAACTATCAACTTTGGAGTTGGAATGTGGGATTATTTTCAAAGTGGATGGATGTTTACTTTGAACGAAAGGGATTGGAATTTTTCCCTTTTTTAAGTTAGATTTTAGTTTAGGTTTAAAGAAAAATTTAATTGGGTTTTTGGGAAAATACAGGGCTTTAACCGAAAAAAAAAAAAAATCTGTAAAAATTCCAGACAAATTAATCTTAANCGAAAAAAAAAAAATCTGTAAAAATTCCAGATATCACAATTATGTACGAAAAAATACATTATTAATATAGTATATTAGTATATCCCAATAATAGTATATTAATATATCCCATGTTTAAACTTTTCTCTGTTGTGTGTCGCTTTGCATTGAATTTGCATCGATGTTAAGCCTAAGGAAAATTTTTATAATAATAATTGTGGCTATTGTATCGTTAAAAATTATTTCTTTATTTTGTACAAACAAAATAAATATGTTGAAAAATATAAAAACAAAAAATTATACTTTAGAAGTTAATCTAGTATCAAAAACGTTCAATTCAGCATGACACAGTCCAACTGGAACGCTTTTAGTTAACCGACGTTTCAGTTGATCTGCATTCAGATAATCGACGCTCTACTGTATATTTTACAATAATTTTATATATATTCAGAATTCAACTATAGAAAATAAAACAATTTTTATTTTTTAAAATACTTACCATCTAAATCTAATTTTTGTAAAGATTTTTTGTTAGCCATAACTTTTATTAATGCAATTCCACCTCCTAATCCAATTTCATTAAAACCTAAATTTAGTTCCTGAAATATAAAAATTTTAAATTATTCAAAATTTCTAAGACTAACATAAATTAATAATTAGTTATATTAAAATATGATAAAATATATATATATGTGAGAGCCAAAATTGTTGAAATATTTTGTTAAAATATTAATTTTGAGAGAAAAAGTTAAAGCGACAAAACAAAAAATGAAAGTGTTAAAGAAAATTAAAACTGGTTCCCACGAACTTACTTCCTTGTTGAAGGTGACACATTGAATGTCTCACTCAAAACCAACAAGTGAAAAATTGACTATTGGCCCCAATGTACTAAAATTCCTAACAAAGTCATGGGAAAACCCAGGAGTAGCCCCCTAATAAAAGAGGGGGGTGATGACAATCAAGAGCAGTCGTCAACAACTCAAACTCTAAATAGTGTGTGCTCCGAACTGCCGATTTCAGCTACCATCAATCGCTGCCTCGCTAAAAGGATAAAACAAAAGGATTTCTGTCCAAACAGAGTCTCTGAGGTTTCCATCAAACTGAGCATCAATACATCATAGGACCAACAAGTGTTTAAGGTATTTATCAATGCACAAACGACTAAGCTCTCTCTTTCTCTCACAATCAGGGTCGTGATCGTAATAATAAGGTTCCTATATATATGTCATATTATTAGCATCTGCAGATAGCTTGTAACTAGTCTAGATAAATAAACAGGTATTGTTAATTGTTAACTTCATAGTAGCGTGCACTTCTTCCTGTCATTTCTCAGACATCTCCATCCCAAATCTGGGTGCCTACAAATGTGACTGCTCATACACACACACACACACACACACATATATATATAATTGTTGTTACTTTAAAATATTTTAAAGATCCATAAGAAAATTGCAATAAATTATAGATGTAGCTTCCAATGAGCTTGGAAGAGTCTAACAGATGTTATACTTCTGCTATTTTGTGACTTAATTTAAACATTCTGAAATTACCTTTCTTTCATATTTTGTTTCTTCAAAAATCTCCTTGTGACAAATATCTATTGAAACTTTTCTTTCCATCAATATTCAATTGAAAAGTAATTTAGCCTTTAAGAATTATTTTGAAGTCAAGCACTTCTAATTTTCCTTCAATTAAGTGGAATAGTCTGAGAATTTACCTGTGTTCTATAGATCTATTTCATTTCCAACAAGCTTCAGAAAGCCTGCATTACATTTCTCCCATTTTGTTACATATTCTTTTTTACCTACTTTATGTATATTTTCAGGTTAGTTTTTGTAAGTTTGTTACATATATTTTTTTCATTTTTACATCATTGCTCATCTATCTCAAGACTCAGCAATTTAATGTTTTTTTTATGGATCTTTTAAATATTTCAAATTTCAAAAACATACAATCCATAAAGAATAAATGTATTTTTCTATACCTATGGTTCTCAATGTGGGGCACATGCCCACAGGGGGGCAATTTGAGAATAAGTTATTAACAGTGAATGTGAAAGTCTGCTAATTGTTCTTATATAATATTATTCATAAATTAAGCTAAGAATGTTTTTTTAATTTTCTTCTTTCAACTCCATCTTCTTCTCAGTGTCTTTTCTGTTTAGATAACCTCTCCATTGTAACTTGGAGCAAGGTAAGTGGCTTGAGACTCTATTGTACATTGATAAATTTAACAATCTTACAATAAAGTAGAAAAGTGTTTAGAGTGCACACAAAGTTATTATTACACAGGTCTGCAAGTAAAAAACTGCATAGGGTTTTTATACATTTTCTTACAGATTTCAACTTGGTAAAAATGAAAAAAAATACCAAAAAAATTCCTTCTCGTCAATTTTTTTTGTTACACTCAAGTTTTTGTTTGTATTTAGCGTAAAATTTCTAGTTAACTTAAAATTTATTATTATTTTTTTTTTATTTAAAAAATGGTCTTAAAATGAAGACTTCTCACATTAATTCTATCAATTATAGCTGGACTTGGTAATAAATAAATAACAATGTTAATGGTTGAAGAGAGTAGTGGTAGGGGAGGTGGGTTAAGTACTTTTAGTGTTGGGAGGAAGGTCGCATGATTGTATAGAAACAGGTTAAAAATTGATAGTGAGTAATATTATTGGTGAGGTTGAGCATGTTTTGACATGTTATCTGGGATACTAGGAATAAATATAAACAACTGCTGTTGGATTAGATCATGTTTCAACAAGCTAAATAAGTTCATTATCTTGCTGGCCATCTAATGCCACACTCAGTTTATATCCAGCATTCAAACACTACTGTGCTTGTATTTTTATTTCTGGAATATTGCTCGCAGAGGTTGTGTAATTTCTCCCAACAGCTTCTGTTAAGTTTGTGGTGAATACACAATGAAAAGTCAACAAAGAAACATAAGTGAGTTTGTGAAGAAAGTTTATTTTGCATATTTCAAATTGAAACTTGGAGATCAAGACAAAGTAGATTTTTGGAAACAATGGGAGAAAAGGAAAAAGAAGAATGGGACTCTTTCAAGAATGTAATGCATAAGTTTTTGGGGAATACTCAGAACCCTGACTACAAAACCATTGTACAATGTATGCTGGCAGTAGCGTATGAAGCTCAAGGATGCACGATGAGCTTAAAAGTTCATTTCTTACACTCCCATATTGACTATTTTCCTGAAAACTTGGGAGCCTACAATGAAGAAGAGGGCGAAAGATTTCACCAGGATGTCTGTGATATCGAGAGACATTACCAAGGAAAATGGGATGTCAATATGTTAGCTGACTACTGTTGGATGCTCAATTAAGAAACCAGAGAAGGAAATCAGAAACGAGTTTGGAGAAGCATCAAAAAGAAAAGGTTTCATAAGAAAAAAAAGAGTAGACCTAAAATTGTGTATAAATATCAGAAACAATTTGTTGATTAGTTGTAAGAAAATATAATATATTTAATTGTAATAAATAAGAGTTTTTATCAAAAATTTGTTTTTATTTTGCAAAAAACCTTTATGTGGTGGGATGTAATGGAAGTTATTTTTAAAATCTGCAATCTTTAAAACATATAATTCAGCAAAAATATTCCATGCAGCTGGAAAAAATTTTTTTTTGCAGACCTGTGTTATTAGTAAAAACNGGCAATGAGCAAATAATTAATATTTGTTACATTTTCACTTCAGTTCTATATATAGGCCTATATATATTCTGAAACTTTATTTGCTGTTTTTTCATATCACTTTGTATTATTATTACTTTTTAAACAATTTCTTAGTGATTTCTTCCTCAGTATTTCAACTATCCTTTCATTCTTTTATTTTTCTTTTTTATAAATGCTATGTTCTTTGGAAGCTTGTTTAAATCAAGTTAATGGCTTTTTTAGGATTCCTCCACATAAATAGGAGTTCACTTTTTGAATAATAAGAATTATGTCATGAGGCATCAGGATTTTAGAGATGCTTAGGTGAGGCATGGCCAGGTTGGAACCACTGTTCCATACTGTTTTAAATGCGAAACTTTTATAATCACAGAGTTGGTTATGTCTTGATTCAAAATGCCACCCATTAAGTAAGGTAATATGGTGGAGGGAGTTTAATTTTCAATTCTACTTTACATGTTTAAAACGTTTTCGAACACAATGATTCCATTAAAGTCTTTGAAGTAAATTATCCATGACTATTATGCCAACTTATGCCCCTCACCCTTTCATTAGAACATATTTTTTACTTTACATCAATTTCTTTATTCTTATAATAAATGTCTTACAGTATGGCTAATATTAGTTCAAATAATTTTAAACAATACTTTTATCAGTTAAATCCTGCTAAATCCTTTTTTGTTTTATTAACAAAACTGATTGTTTTTTAATTTTAATTTATAAAATTAATATCTTTTAATGATGAATGTATTACATATATAATTTATTATAACAACAAATAAATGAAAATAAAGAACAAGTCTGACATACCTTAAGAAATGTGTTATTTTTCAAAGAATCAGCAATTGCTTTTGCACCTTCTGTTTTTATTAGGCAATCACCAAAATTAATTATTTCCAAATTTGATAGGTTATTTATGCACTGTATTTAAATAAAAATAGTTTATTTAACATGTAAGCAAAAAATATACATATATAAAGTTTAGAAAATTGATAAGTATATTTGATTTAGCTAAGTATTACATTTTTGATTTATTTAATTGTAATTACAGTAAACAACTGACCTTGGCTAATGCTTTAGCTCCTTTTTCTGTACATATATTATCATTAAGATTTATTTCTCTGAGATTTTTATTTAATGCCAAAGATTTGGATAAAGCACTTATTCCTTCATGATTTATGCCATTTTGGGGCATGCAAACACATTCTAAGGAACCAAGAGCCTAGAAATAAAAATTATGTTTAATTAAATTATAAAAAACAAAGCATTTTAAAGTGAAACTACTTATTTAGTGCTTATTTCTAACATTTGTAATAAGTTTTTTTTTCTAAGTACTTTAAATGTACATTTAAAGTACTTAGAAAAATCAATAATTAAAAAATTATTGATTTTTATATCAGAATTAATCTTTGATGTTTTTTTAAATCTTCATAGATCAGACTAAGTGTATTTTGTCTGTGAACCAACAGTGTATATTCTGCAGTGATGTGAAACTCAATGTCACACCTACTAGTTTACTGTAAAAATTTTAAATCTTATAGAGAAAAATTGCTCATATTACTTCTGATACTTATATTACTCATAATCTAACAAGATGATTATCAGAAGTAACAAAACTCTTTTATTTTTAATGAAAATTTGATGTAATAAGAATCTGTTTATACATTAATTTCATAAACTATATATTTATGCAATTATGTTTAAGTTGAAACCTTGTTTTTCTATTAATTATTAATTCTTTTGTTAAATTGGAAGACTAATATGCTACGTTTGTATTGAGAATGATATTACCTTGTTTTTATAACCCCATGACAGGGTAACTCTAAATAGTCAAATAAATCAAGTGAAAATGATGCTAGTAAATTACTGATATCTTAATTTTTACATACTATCTCCATGAAATTACATCTACAGAAAAAAAATTAATGAAATTTAAATCTGTTATAAACAAACTGATATAAAATTTCATTAATTCCTGTGCTGTTCAAATTTCTAACAAAAGAATAGTTATTTAGAGTAATTCGAGAATAAGCATTCATTTCATTTGTAATTAACTTATTGCTGCAGCTTTTAAAGAAAATTGCTGTCTGAAGACATTACTGTAAAAATTTATACAAATTAAAATTTTATATATAAGTAACATTTTTCATCTGTTTAAACTTTTTACTAATTGAGAAACACCACACAGAAAGATTGATTAAATAGCAATCCATAACAAATACTAAGTCAGTCATATTTAATTTTAATCAATTTTCAAGATGAATGCTTTAATTTTTGAAAAGTTGTTAAAATTATTAACACTTCTGTAAAATTTATATTTGGAACTGACGAATGTTTTGTATATGCTCATGTTGCTAAATTAAAATAAACATTATTTGATTTGATTTCATGCCAAAATAATTTTTATAATATATGAAGTCAAATAATGTACAGTAGAGCGTCGATTATCCGAATCAATTGGGGACTGGGGTTGTTTGGAAAATCGATATTTCGGATAACCAATTATTTACGAAAAAATATATTAATTTATCCCATGTTGAAATTTTTCTCTGTTGTGTATCGCTTCGCGTTGAATTTTCATCGATGTTAAGCCTAACGAAGACTATTCTATCGTTAAAAATTATTTTTTATTTTGTACAAACAAAATAAATATATTGAAAAATATAAAAACAATAAAAAATTATACTTTAGAAGTTAATTTAGTATCAAAAACGTAAAATATTTGAGTAGCCCGAGACATAGCCAAAGATTGTAATGCCACAGCACTGGCAAGAATTTAAATTTGCCAACTAGAATTCTTTCAGATAATTGATGTTTCGGATAATCGATGCTCTACTGTAAATAAACAACATAATGAGAAATATAATTTAACTTGAAATAATCACATTGCATTTGCATTTGGAAAAAATTCACAAATTGTTTAAAGACTATATCAAATATAAAATTGTTTTCTATTTTAAAATGATCATTGAAATAGCAGTGTTTATTCTCCAATAAAAATGCGCACTCACTGGCCAATGAATTAGAAACCTCCATGCATATTAATTCAAGTAAATGTAATTTTGCAGCTTATATGCAAAACACTTGAGTAATGTGAGTTACCATGTTCATAAGCTCTTATTTAAGAATGCTGTTTGTCAGTATGGTCATTAAGTTTATGAAAATGGGAAAAGCAAAGGACTTGACAGAGTTTCAAAATGGGCTGATTGTGAGTGCCTGTCTTGCTGGAACCAACAATATCAAGAACTGTAGAGATGATTGGTTTTTCCAAAGGTGAGATATCCCAAGTGTTCAATCAGTGAAAAAATAACCCACAGTCAATATATAAAAGAACTAACTGTGGCTCCGAAATAGTTAATCAGGAATGCAACTGACGTTGTCTGAAAAGGCTAGTGTAAAAAAAAAAAAAAAAGGCCTTCCTCTGTGGTGCAGCAATTGATGGAAGAATTTAATGAATCCCATTCCCAACCCGTATCTACCCAAACTATGTGCAGGGAACTGAGAAGAATTGGTATGAACAATTACAAGCCTATATGATAACCACTGATTTCTGCAAAGAACCAGAAAGTTCGTCTACAGTGGTGCCAAGAGCATTGTGATTGGACATCTGAGGACTGGAAAAAAGTAATGTGATCAGACAAATCATGGTACACCTTATTCTGTACCAAAGGTAGGCAGGTTTGGAGGGAGCCGCATGAAGCAATGGACCCTGCTTGCCTCATTAACACAACTCAAGGTTCTAATGGAGGTGTTACGGTATGGGGCTTGTTCTGTTGGGACGGAACTGGTCCGCTGACATTCCTGGAAGGTTGAATGACTTCCAACGAGTACCTGAACATTGTTGCCAATCAAGTTCATCCTGCAATGTTGCAGTTTTTTTCTGACTGGCATGATGGCTCTTTGATGACAACACTACTGTCCATCACACAGGAATTGTTCAGCATTGGTTCAGCGAGAATGAAGACGACTTTTTCCACCCACCCCGATTGCCACAGAGCCTAGATCTTAACCACCTCAAGAATGTATGGGACACGTTAGAACAACATATCTGCCAGCAAAGTCCGTTTCCATCAAATCTACACAAACAAAAGGAAAGTCTGGTGTGCATTGGACTTAGAAGCACTTCAGCACCTTGTAGAATCCATACCAAATTGAGTAAATGATGTAATTTGAACTAAAGGTGGTCCAATAAAATATTAAACTGCTGTTTCTTATTCATTGACCAGTGAATGTACAATAAAAGATGCAAGAAAAATGAAAGTTTTATTTAACTCTATAATAGGAATTTATATAATTTCAGAATTAATTTATAATTGAAGAGAAAATTTCACATATAGAAGTTTGAAAAAGATACACATTTTAAGTTTGTAATATAAATTCTTTATTTAAAAAAACTTTTGAGGAATTTAAAAACTTACCTCAAAAACTTTTGCTATTTCTTTTGAACCTTCATTTTCCAAACGATTTCTTCCACAAATAAATGTTTTCAGTGAAAATTGCATATTATCCTTTTTGCTGTTTTTATGGCATTCTAAAAGAGCTTCAGCAAGCATCTAAATAGTCAAATAATAAAATTTATTAAAGAAAATATTTTATTATTTATTATATTTATAGAAAAAAAAACTTCATAATTTTGTCCTTTTCACACTTCAAGAACAACAAAGTAACATAGCTGTTTTCTTCATTTGGAGGCATTTATATTCAAATTTTGCATGCTGAGGAGTCAGAAAACACCTCAGCATGCAAAATTTGAATATAAATGTCCTGGTGGACATGGTATAATTATAAAATTTGACTGCTGAATGTAATTAGTGTTGAGCTCTACACTTTACCATGAAAAAAATGAGAAACTATTCCTCTATGCTACCAAAATGATAAGGAACCTGTTTGCTAATGGACAACTTTATGTAACAATATCACATTACTTTTTCGTCATTTCAAAATAAAAATTAAACATAATGATAATAAAAATTATAACGTCTATCATAAATATTGTTTTTGAAGATGTTTTATAAGATATACTAAATTTTTTGAATAAAATATTGTACTTAGTAGTTATTTCATTTACTAATCATCATATAATCCATCATTCTTAATGGATAAATTTACTGGCTATCTATCACATACACACACACACGCACACACACACACTGTAGAACCTTGCTAATCTGAATTAATTGAGCTTGAACCTGTTTGGAATTGAAAGTGTTTCAGATTATCTGATATTCTTTTTCATCATTTACAGTGGTGCCTCGTACAACGTACTTAATCCGTTCCAGATGCACGTCTGTTAAGTGAAACGTCTGTTATACAAAACGCATTTTCCCATAGAAATACATGTTAAAACATATAATTCGTTCCGCAGCATAAAATAACCGTACTGTACTATAAAAAATGAAAATGGAGCAGACACCAATTATGCCGGGTAGTCAGATGTTGTGAGGAGGAGGTGGAAGAACACTTTCTTTACACATTCATACAGATACAGACTTTTTACACATTGCAGCGGGTCTTTTTTTATTGTTTTTTAATCGGGGTCAGATTCAGGAGAGGCTACCAGAACTTGCAGGGTCAACTTCTCTTGTTCCATCCTTTGTTTTTTGCCCGCTGGCTTCTTGAAAAACATGACCAAGGTGGTCTGTTTCTCTTTCTTCTTTAACACCTGTCGGAAATGACGGACAAAGGTGTCATCGTAGAGATCATTGATCCTGTTGGCCTCAGCTCTGTTTGGATAATGAGTGTTGGTAAACTCCTGAACCTCTCCCCATTCGACAAGAAAGTTTTTGTCAACTTTCACTCCTGATGATTTCTTGCTTTGTTTCAATTGAAATCACCTTTCTGTTTTTTTAGAAGCCATGATGCATTATAAATGACTTAACTTGCCAGATTATATGATACGAATAATTCTTTATTAATTAAGATCACTAAACACTTCTACGAGCTACTCTCGCTCCGTTTGTTTTTTACAACCTCTTTTCGTCCCGCCACCTCGGCATCTACACAATTACATTTCGTTTATTTGAATCGTCAACATATATTACATTACATTTAATGTTTATTTAAATCATCAACATATATTACATTACATTTCTACTTCAGATATACTAATAATACATTCTAATAATACTAATATATCCTAAAAATAGCAGATTGTCATTGGCAACAGCAAAAGAGTGGAAACATCATTCGCACTTGTTCGAAAAAAGTCCATTGTGTGTCTCATGTAACTGCCGAACGGAAAGTCCGTTGTTTGCAGCAAGTCCGTTGCTCGAGTCACGTAACGGTCAAACAGAAAGTCCGTTATTCGCAGCGTCCGTTATACGAGGCACCACTGTACTTTTTATATTAATGTAATGTTTCTCCAATACATTGTTTAAGCCTGTAATATTATATCAGGATGACTGACGTCATTCAGATTTTTTGAGAACTGACAAATTTGGTTCACATATATGAGCATTTTTAATCTCTTTCTGAAAATAAGTATATGATAGTAGAAGAATGAGAAGACATGAGGTTAGTTGTAAGGTTGCCGATGGGGATGGAAATGTCAAGAGGGTTGATGAGTCACAAAGAGTTCTGTAAGCAATTTGCACTGAGACATACTACAATTACAAGAAACCATTTATTTGGCATAAAAAAATGCTTACAAGATTTCCACAATCTTGGAAATTTCAGAAAGTTGGCAGTGGCCTCTGGATCTTCCTCTCCTTTCCAACATAGTCTCAAATGAAGAAGTGTCTCTGGTTCATGAATGACAGTTCCGTTGATGACTCAAGGACAATGCAGTTGACTTCCAGTGATAGGAAAATGTTGATCCGAGGACAAGAAATGGAGACAAAGATGGGCATAAGACACACACACACAACAATTGGAACTTTCGGGAGAAGAAGCCATGCTGGAGCAAGAATAAGAAGCCATGACGGCTTCTTATCCTTGAATTCCCAGATTTTATTAATTTCCGTCCTTGACTGCCCATTCTAATTGGTTGCTTTTCCTCGTTCTCGCTTTCTAAGTGGTCAACCACTCATTACTATGTGTAATGAGAGCTCAACTTAGATCGAGGGAGAGGTCAAAATTGAAGTTTAATTTGATCCCCAACCAAAGACTGTCAATAGAATTACATTCTTCTATTGTTTAAAAGTTCATGTCATGTTTTCATACAAAAACTATTTCTAACTTTTTTTTTGTTTTTAAGAGAAAAAAATAAATATTTTAATACAAATTTCAGTGAGGGCTTAGACTTGTCCAGAGCCTCACATAGTCTTTATTTTCTATTCGGATAATAAATTTTTAATTTGAGGGTTTGTACACACTGCATATTTTGGGTAGGATTCAAGTAGGTGTAACAGTTACATATTTTGTTCAAAGAGAGAGCTATTTTTGTTTTTTTTGGATTAATCAGAATTTCAGACTTTTGGGATTCAAATTAGCATGGCTTTACTGTATATTATTATTATAAATACAATAGATAACAAAAAGATAAACATTTTAAAATTAAAATTATATAAAATATTCTGTAGAAAAACTTTTAGCTTACTTTTCCTCCTCCAATTCCAAGACCATTATTATTTAATTTTAAAACTTGTAATGAATAGCATGATGATGATTTTAAAAGTAAGAGTATTCCTTTAATTCCAACAGGACCAAAAGCATTATCACTGAGATCTAATTCAACTAATTTAGCACCAGAGAGCATGATTCCACTGCTTAAATAATTCTACAAAAGATGTAAAAAATTCAGTTATTCATTCAAAATGTGCGAGTGATTTAAAAAAAATATTATATTTATAAAAATTTTTAAGCATTAAGATATTTTGATTAAAAAATATAAAATAAAATATGGATTATTTATCAGTGTTGTTATGTAATATGAATTTTTTTCATGCTAGGCCCTACCTGCTTATTGTAATAATTTAATTTAAAATATTCAAATTTCTTTGAACCTTAATAAAATTATTTAATTTAACTGTTATTAATAAATAAATAGTTTATTAAATAATGAAAAACTATCTTAAAAGGAAAGAATCTTTAAAACCATAGTTTTCCTACTGTTGCTAGTTACAGCAAATTTCACACAATTAAAATTCTGTAAGAAAGCAGAATCAACAATTTACTTCTGTAACTTTATTTTTTGATTCTCTCTGCTCTATGAGCAATAAAAAGGCCTTTTAATCATGTCCATCAGGGATTCAATCAACTCTACATCCTGGAGTTTAGTGGGCCTCACTCTTTGGTATAGCCCAGAAGTAGGAAGTGGAAAGAAGGTGTAAAGTTTGAGAAGGGTTTAGGTGAAGGTGAAGTGAAAAGATGGATAGGAAAGGTAAAAGGAAAGTTGTGTTCCATGGGTTCCCATGGCGTCCGCACCGCATTTATTAAAAATAAATTGACAATGTACAAAATAGCAAATATATACAATGATAACAACAATGATAGTTACAAATAAACGTATAAACATTGAAGACAATGGTGCCGTGCACAAAGAAGCATACCCACAACTTGTGGGTTGCATGATACCTGTACAAATGAACAACCCATTCATAGTCCACAAAACAAATGTCCTGTTTGGCAGCTTGTGGATCAGAAAGTCCTATATTAACATAGAGACCGTTGACACCATTGTGAGTATGATGTGATACTTCTGTCCATGCACTTAAAGTGTCCTAGAAGGAGAAGATCAGTTAAGTATGTTGATGCTTTTAGCAAAGTCATTGAATGCTTTATATAATTTCTTATTATTAATAAAGCTTTTAAGTTGGCATGGCCAAAGTTCGTTTTCTTCGTTAACCCTGTCTATTAATGTTTTCCTTTGATTCCTGAAGTTTGGACAAAGATAAATGATGTGTTCTGGTGTGTCTGCTTCCTGTAAGAGACATTGACATATACCGTCTGTCTTCTTCAGAAACCTTTTTAGGTAATTTCTGAAGTTGCCATGTCCTGTCAACAGTTGTGTAGTGTTGAAGTTAGGCAAGAAAAATCTGTTTTCATTTCGGTGTTGTACATCTGGAATGTAGTCATGTGTTATTCTGCCTGTGGTACCCTCATCCCACCTTTTCTGCCATCTATACCAGATGTGTTCCCTAATTTTCTTTTTTAACCAGGTGACAGGAGTGTAGTTATAATAGCAGATGTTTGTTCCTTTGGTGGCAGTGCGGGCCAGAAGGTCCGCCCTTTCGTTTCCTTGTATGTTTGCATGTCCTTTTATCCAATTTAGATTAATAGTTATTTTCCGTTTAAGTTGTTTAAGAATGTTGATGCTTTCCCTTACCACAACCAGTTTGATGTTCAACTTTTTAATCTGAAGTAGTGCCACTCTACTGTCACTGAGAATCGTGACCCTGGTGATGTTATATTTCTGTCTGTTTTCATTAATCCATTTAAGAGCCCTAAATATTGCAAATGATTCCGCTTGATTTGCTGTGCAATGGTTCTCTAGTTTGAATCTGGCTTGATAGATGTTTTTGTCGTTATTTTTCACTACAATTGAACTGCCCACTCCTGTTTCTGACTTTGACCCGTCCGTAAAAATGCAATACCCGTTTGGTATTGTGCTGTCATTCATATTGAAGAGTTCATCTATCGAAAAACTGGGGTGAAATGCATGTTCCTGTGGTTCATTATCCAGTTTAAAATTGTGAATGTAATCAGCTATGGTCTTTGCTTCTTCTCTGACTCCTATTTTCTCCGTATCTCTATAAAATGTTTCACTGTTGATGTTACCCGATGATAGTTTTAATTGTAGAAAATGCCATACCTTTTCAGTGATTATAAGATCGATTGGAAGAAGATTTGCTATTGTGAGGATGGCGTCGGTAGGAGCTGTCCTATATGATTTTGTTATCGATATTGCAGACATGCGTTGAGCAGAAAGGAGTTTCCTTTTAATGTGAGTTTTTGGAACCGATTCCCCCCAGATCTCACAGCCATAAGTGATCATCGGTTCTATTACAGCAGTGTAGAGTAATCTACAAGCTTTACTATCGTATCCCCATTTGTTCCTTGCAATTGAAGACAGAGAATGTATGGTGTTGACAGTCTTATCGTAAATATATTTAACATGGTTTTTCCAGGTCATCCTGTTGTCTAGTATAATACCAAGATATTTTATCTCTGTGCTGTTCCTGATCCTATGGCCATCCATTTTTATTATTGGTGCTTTTTGAAGTGGGGTGGATTTTGGGAACACAATGCTCTGACACTTGTCATAATTTATCTTTAGTTTCATGTTTTTGCTCCATTGAGAAATGCTCTTAAGAATTTCATTCGCCCTATACTGCAGTACTTCCTGATTGCTGTGTGTTATTGCAAGTAGAGTATCATCAGCATAGCCTTGAAGTTTACAGTTAAACTCTTTAGGGATATTATCTTTAATCTTCAGCAAGCTGTTATATATGAGATTCCATAGCAATCAACTCTACAATAGGATGAACAGATTAGGTATAGGGCCTAATTTATCTGAGTCAACCAACTCAGAATTCAGATTTAAATCCAGTTTCCCAGAATGGCACACATTGGTATTTACTGTCTCAAGCCATCTATGTTTGTAATTAAAAGTTTGTTGTCAGCACTGTCTTGAACAAACAACTAATGTACAAAGTAGAAGCAACACTAACAATCATACACACCTCTCCAAAATAGTTGTTTATTGCTGAAAGAAGTGTGTAATTTTTGATTTTATTGTAAATGTAATCAAAATCTCCACAAATTCTTGAATTAAACCATAGAATTCCAATATATTAGCTAGCATATCTGTTCATTTTATTAGAAATGATACTGGCTTCATCGTGTTGACTGCATTCAAAATAGTAATCTTGACTTCATTTTCACAATGTCAGATAAAGTTAATATTACATTTTAGATAATTACATAATAATGACGTAACATTTCAAACTAAATCAACAATAACTAAAGTTTACTTTTTCAAATGTTAAAATAGTATTGACAATTAAAGAAAACTAATTTGTACATTTAAAAATTTTGTTATAATGATCACATTTGTAAAAGGTTAAACGTTCATTATAATGATATTTTACTGCTTTAAAATGTTGATTATTATATTTGAATTAATATATTTCATAATTTTATACTCACTAATGCCTCTGGTATTTCATCCTTTAATCGACCAGTAAACATATCTTTCCAAAATGCTTTCTGCAATTAATAAACTTTAATTTAATATCTTTCATTTATTTTGTGAAATGTTATTACTATTAAAAGTATATATATAATAATTTCTGCAAAAACAATATATTTTATTTATTAAATAATAAATAAAAACAGAATATAAGTAACTTTAAGAAAATACTTTCAATCATATATCCTGTTTTTCAGCAGTGATAATTTGCGTTATTTTTTTTATAGTTGTAAGCTAGATTCCTTTTCCAGAAAATAACTTATACATCAGTATAAAACAGAGCATTAATAAATCTATATTGAGCGAATTGTACACAATTTCAGTAATAAGTAAACTAATCTACAACTCAGACTACGTCAACAATAATTTTGAAACGGAACTGATCGTTTGGAAAACAATAAATTATTTACCCTCCGATCAAGCAGGATATAAATTAAAAGTATTCTCGTAGTATGAAGAGGGAGAAAAAGTAATTATAAATATTTCTTCAAGTAAAAATTCAAGTCTGTCATTAAAAGATTCATGTTAATTTAGATACATATGAAAGCATATCATTTTTCACACTTTTCTAACACAAGCATCACATCTGAAACCATATAATTTATCATTTCAAATAGCAAGCTTTTAGAATTGTGTGTTGATATATATATATCAGGGTGTCTAGCATTACTTCAGACTGAATTTCCCTACCTTTTTACCTATATATAAATATATATGAGTAATTACATTGACACAAACTGCAGACTTCTTTTGATATTGAATGTAAATAACATTGACTATGATTGATCATCATGATTTCTGATACTGTATTTATTGAAGCAGAATTGGATCTTTCAGATTAAAATACTTTTGGGTTTCCCCCACTTGAACAATCTATTGTAATTATTAAAACTATCATATCATAAAACCATTTATGTAACAAAAAAAAATTCAGAAGTACAGTCAATTCCATTTAACTGAGTCACTGGTTAATTGGAGCAGCTGCTTTATTGGGTCAAATCTCAAAGAACGAAAACCAAACTAATAAACTAATACATAATTTAAATGCTTAATTGAGACAGCAGCAGTAAAGGAATTTAGCAGTTTTTGATATATTTTAGGGATCTTTCAAAAATATGTCAATACTATATACACTAATGTCATATAGGCCTAACAGCTGGTGGAGACTAAGCAATTTTGTCTTTTGCTTAAACTGTTTAGTTCTTCCAGAGGGGGGTCATCATAGCAGGAACATATCACACTGAGATCCCATCTGAGGCAGACCTGAATGTGAGCTACTGACCCTGCTCCAGATTGGATTGGACAATCCCCTTAAAAGCAAAGGAACAGACCTCGAGACAATTTTTCAGTCTCTTGACCAAGTTGGAAGACAGCTAGAGTTTCCTTTAAAGGTATTGTGTGCATGATTATGTCTAGACTCGGACAGCAGCCATATGATCATTGGGACCAGCATCTGGAGCTGGCGGATTCTGTGGATGCTCCCGACAAAGTGGCCCATCTCCAAGTAAAGGAAACTGTGTTCAAAGAAAGACTGTAAGATGACTTTTGGACAAACCCGGTCATGTTCTAACTAAAAAAGGGAGAGAGAAAAGATCGTTCAATCAGGAATGGATCAAACAGTCAACCCTTATGTATATCACTACTAATATTTGGCAACACTAGCAAGATGGGAATCAGTTATCTATCGTTGTGAGTCTGGCAAATTTATAGTATAAATATTTTCTATATTTTGGTTTAATAAAGCACTAAAAATAGGTACCTAATTGTTATTTTTTTATCTACGTCTTACATAATTTATTTTAAAATTTATTATTAGTTCGTTTAACATGTTAATGGCGTCAGTAGATAAACTTTTAGGCAGCTGCTAGAGCATAGAAACTTTTTATTCCAAAGCTAAAAGACTTCTCTAATTAATATATANAACTAATTATTATTATTTTACCTACGTATTACATGTTTTATTTTAGAATTTATTATTAGTTCATTTAATTGGGGCAGCTGCGTAATTGGGCCAAAATGGATTAGTCCCAATTAAGCAGAATTGACTTTAATATCATTTATTTATTTATTATGAAATAAGTTGAGATATAAACAATGATTCTCATATAAACATTGATATACTTGAGATTAGTTCTAAAGTTATTTTTGTTTGATAGGAACATAATCTAATAAATCTAATACCTTAAAATCAGGTTGGCTCTCGAGTGCTTTTGCAATTGCTTTGGCTGCTTCCACACCGACTGTATTTCCTTCCATTCTTAAAGATGTCATATTTGGACATTTCTTGATTGCATCAACTACTGGTTCGGCTAAAATAAAAATATTTATATACATGTAACTTGAAAACGAGAATAAAAAACAGGCTAAAAAAATATTTTATAAAATTTATACTCATGAATTTAAATTCACAATTATTATAATAGAATTTTAAGATGAATGTTTAAAAATAGTATAACTTCAGTATTAGAAATAGAGAGAAATTACAGTAGAGCATCGATTATCCGACTCAATTGGGGACTCAGGTTGGTCGGATAACCGAAAAGAATGAAAAAAAATTCATTACTAGTATAGTATATTAGTATATCCCATGTAATTAGTATATTAGTATATCGCTATTAACCAACTTCGCATTGAATTTTCATTGATGGTAAGCCTAACAAATTTTTTTTTTTAAATAATAATCATCACTATTGTATCGTTAAAAATTAGAAAATTAAGCCTCGTTTAAATACTGGCTCCCTTTCATGGTCGAGCCAGTGTTGCCAGCTAAAACACGCAAAAATTTAACAAAAATAATATTAAAGTAGCCAAGACATAGCCAAATATTGTAGTGCCACATCAATAGCAAACATTTGAAATTTGCCGACTAGAACGGTTGGTTAACTGATGTGACAGTTAATCGGGGGTCGGATAATTGATGCTCTACTGTATTTTGTGTTAGACTTGTTTAACACTATCTGATTTCCAGTAATATTTCCATATAATGAAGGAAAAGTTTCTTTTCCTTTTAAAGATTCATTGATGTTAATTAAAAATTTTTAAAAACAACACAGAGACCTTTTAAAGAGCCAAATGTATCTAAAACCTGAACAGATTTACACAACAGAAAATTTAATGCATCATGTTATAAAATACTGTATACTGGCAGAATGGAAACTGAATTAAGTATTGAAAATGTAATTTAAAATGTCACAGAACTATTAAACTCCTACAAGAGTACAAGAATTTCTTTAGGATTTTCGCATATAAGAATACAGTCAACCCCCTATAACACAGTAGACACATTCCGAGTTTTATGAATCCATTTCCTACAAGTCCTTAAATACATGAGCCAATCACAGCATGGCACGTGTGCAGTTTACGGACTATGGCTGTTTGAAAGGTTTTCTTCCATAAAATTAATCGATTCTAGACTAATTTGACTCAACATTTAGAGGTCAAAATTGAAGTTTAATTTGATCCCCAACCAGAGATGGTTGATCTTAGGACTTACATTCTTCTATTGTTTATAGTTCGCATCACATTTTCATACAAAAACTATTTCTAACTTTTTTTTTGTTTTTAAGAGAAAAAAATAAATATTTTAATACAAATTTCAGTGAGGGCTTAGACTTGTCCAGAGCCTCACATAGTCTTTATTTTCTATTCAGATAATAAATTTTTAATTTGAGGGTTTGTACACACTGCATATTTTGGGTAGGATTCAAGTAGGTGTAACAGTTACATATTTTGTTCAAAGAGAGAGCTATTTTTGTTTTTTTTGGATTAATCAGAATTTCAGACTTTTGGGATTCAAATTAGCATGGCTTTACTGTATATTATTATTATAAATACAATAGATAACAAAAAGATAAACATTTTAAAATTAAAATTATATAAAATATTCTGTAGAAAAACTTTTAGCTTACTTTTCCTCCTCCAATTCCAAGACCATTATTATTTAATTTTAAAACTTGTAATGAATAGCATGATGATGATTTTAAAAGTAAGAGTATTCCTTTAATTCCAACAGGACCAAAAGCATTATCACTGAGATCTAATTCAACTAATTTAGCACCAGAGAGCATGATTCCACTGCTTAAATAATTCTACAAAAGATGTAAAAAATTCAGTTATTCATTCAAAATGTGCGAGTGATTTAAAAAAAATATTATATTTATAAAAATTTTTAAGCATTAAGATATTTTGATTAAAAAATATAAAATAAAATATGGATTATTTATCAGTGTTGTTNCTGAACTTTAGAGACATCATTAATATAAATATAATTTTTATGGATGTTAAATAATAAATGGTTTTTAGTAGGTCTGCTGCTCGTTTAAACTCAACGGTTTGTGTAATCCTGTCACGACACGAGTCGGCGATGATGTTCTACTGAATTATAGGAGTTTTTTAGCATGTTTGTACGAATACTGTTGCAATTTTTTCGCCGTGATATAGGAATCCAAACTATAGGAACCCGTGTTATAGGGGGTCGGCTGTATTTGCATAGAAATATGGTAAATGAAATAATAATGAAAAATTATTATTGATCAGATTTAAGATATACATCAATATTGTAACATCTTAATGTTTCTTTGAACATATGTCTTCAGCTTAGCTCTTTCCAATGTGTCCTTTGCTTTTTATCCCGGCCATCAAAGCAAAAGTCTTAAAATGGGCCTTTGACCAGTAAGGTAGTTTGTGACAAAACAAGTTGCTTGTAGAATGTTTCTTAAGAGAAAGATTTGCTTGACAACACCCAAGTCTATTCTCTTCTTACAATTAACAACCAATAATCTCCAAGCAAGGCATTATTAAACATCTCAACAATAGTCTTTTGATAATTCTGCCTCTATGCTTTTCCCAAAACAGAATCTTCTTGAGTGACTTACCTTTGTAATTAATTGGGAATTATCCAAATCTATTTAGTCATCATCATCATCATGTTAAGCATTAGCTTATACTTATGATGGTGGCAAGTGATATTTTTGTAATATATCAATTACGCTGAAATATCTTTGTTATTTTTTTTTATTTTGCACCATCTGGGTCATAATGCCACTATATAATAATACTTTTAAAATTTTCTTACAAAATGTTAGATTATTAAAAAAATAAATGTGTGTCTTTGCCCGCACTTCTCTCCAAGCCATATAAAGTACAGTCGAACCCCCCTATAATTACAATTCCTATAAAACTGCGAAAAAATTGTGACGGTATCTGTAAAAAAACTCCTATAATTACATAAAATGGCATCGGGCAGCCGAACTACTTTCCCGCCGTCCGTAGCACCACGCTATGGAGAGATTTCTATCGTCTGGACAGTATTATATAAATTATATATAAATTAGGTACTGTATATATAATTATATATTAACTTATTGTAACTTTATTATAATTAAATATATAATTTTTGCCGTCTAGTGTGGCACGCTACAGAGATTTTATGCTAATTATCGTCTGTATAGTATGTAAATTAGGTACCGTAAGTCTAATACAGTACTGTAATTTTATACATTTCTTGTGAAAGAAACATTTCTTATTCAACGGCGATTAAAATTATTTATATTAATGATGTCTCCAAAGTTCAACGCAGTTTTCGCAGAAAAATAAGTTGTTAGAAATCGGCCGCTGTTTGCTGAGCTGTTCTGCGACGAAAACAAGCTTTAGCAATGGCGATGTTGAATGGTGCACACTCGGTAAGTAATCCTACAATTTTTTATACGGTAGTTTATACAGATTATTTCCAAAAAATATATACGTATTTTGGAAATGTTGAGTCGGATTAGTCTAGAATCGATTAATTTTATGGAAGAAAACCTTTCAATCAGCCGTAGTCCATAAACTTCACACATGTCGGGCTGTGATTGGAAGGACTCGTAAGAAATCGGATTCCTAAAGAATGGAATGTATCTATGATCTTATAGGGGGGGTCGACTGTATACAAAATCACTGAAAGCTGGGCTTAATCATCATTATGATGTAAACAATTTTCTTAATAAACTAGGATTTAATTACTTCTCACTTTTATGAGAAAACCAATTCAGTGGAGAAATTCTTATAATATATCCTCCTTCAATTTTTGGTTATGAAGTTTTCAAATATATGGATTTTATTTTAATTGTCAAATATCCAAATATTCATCTCCTAGTAATTTCTGTTAGAATATGTCAGTGTTTCCTTATATCCTCCAAATATGTCTCTAAATATAGATAAATTTTGTGCAGAGATTTTGATTTATCCAATATTTTATAGACATCCCATGGATCCAATTTTTGTTCGTCAGACCCTGAAGAAATTTTCTTTATAAATGAACTTATTTTTTCAATTTTTATTGAGCTATTTTATTTCCTTCCGACAGTAATTCATTTTTCATCAAGTAGTCATCTAAAAGCTTACCCAGCCAATGGTTTTAACTCCGACCATACTGCAATCTGTCTAAAAATTACTGATTGTGCCGCCACCGGCAATCCCGGATATTTTGAGTGTTCCATTATGGCATCACTTTAACTAAGCAGGCTGCTAACTACATATGTTCTTTTGATTGACTAAAATTGATTTAGTTTACGATATATTTTACAAAACAATTACAGTAGAGTGTCGTTTATCCGAAAGCTGGTTATCCGAAACGTCCCTTATCCGAAAGCATTCCAGTCGGCAAATTTAAATTTTCGCTAGTGCTGTGGCGCTGCAATCTTCGGCTATTTCTCGGGCTACTCAAATATTTTACGTTTTTGATACTAAATTAACATCTGAAGTATAATTTTTTATTGTTTTTATATTTTTCAATAAATTTATTTTGTTTGTACAAAATAAAAAAATAATTTTTAACGATACATTATTATTCGTTAGGCTTAACATCGACGAAAATTCAATGTAAAGCGACACGTAGCGGAGAGAAATTTCAACATGGGATAAATTAAATATATTTTTTCGTACATGATTTGTTATCCGAAAAATAAGATATCCGAACCACCCCAGTCCCCAATTGATTCGGATAAACGACGCTCTACTGTAATAAATTTTTAAGGTACAGAACAGTTGATATATACAAACAAATCACACCCCACCTGAAAAAATTAGGAAACAAAATTTGTAGGCAACGATCAAAATGGAAACAGTGGGAATCCTCGCAAGCTATACATCCACCACATTCTACAACAGCAATATCATTGTTGATGTCAGCTATCATTTCAAAATTATTTTAATACTGTTGTATCCACACAAGTATCTAATCCTCATACATTTTGGGGTTTTATACCAAAATTTTCAAAAAACACCCCATACAAACATTCAACAATACCTGATGATTTAATACACAAAAAAC